CTTTATCTAAGTGTGTTGAGGAGTTAAAATCTTCCTCAGGTCGTATAACGACCACTTCGGCAATGTTTCCTGACTATAAGGCAATGCCAAACTCGGCAAAGGACAACTCGTCCAGATCTAACAGAGCACTTACTGCGGGTATTACTGAAAGAGCCACCGGCTCTTGAACATCCCCAGTCAAACCATTGACGAGTGTATATAGATGCTCGCTACCACCGTCACTCACGATATTGTCATCGCTACTCATGATGCTCTCAGCATCCGACGCCTCAGCGTCCACAAGTGTACACACCTCAAGGTCAAAGACCACTTCATTAACTGACTGCACCCCACCCTCTTGGGTCAATGCCTCGTCATGAGGTGTTCTTACCTCGTTATCCTCAACAACAACCGTCATTTTTGACTTCGCCCGACCCTCTTGGGTCGATACTTCGTCATGAGGTGTTCTTACCTCGTTATCCTCAACAACAACCGTCATTTTTGACTTCACCCGACCCTCTTGGGGCAGTACCTCGTCGTTCTCAAAGACAACATCCATTAATGACTTTCACCAGACCCTCTAGGTTCAGTACCTCATCTTTAGGTGCATGCACTTCGTTGTCCTCAAAGACAACATCCATTGATGACTTTACCCGATCCTCCAGGGTCAGTTCCTCGTCACTCATGTCACTCGAACTCGTGTCCTGACATCTAGGCTTGCAGCCACCAACACCACTCATGGTGTAATGATGTAACATCATTCTCATGACACAAGTCATATTTCTGTCATGTATTGGGTTCTCAACGAAAATACTGACTTTTCTTGGGCCTTGCCCAGGACTATTGTCGTCGACACTCACTGTGTCTACAAAAAGGATAACCCGACATCCAACGTATTTTTTGACCGACTCGGTAAAGCCCTTTTTCTTCCTGTCAGAGTTGGGTTCATGACTCTCCAGAGCCCCACTAGGAGCATGTGCGTTGCGCCTAAGGTCTTCGTCCTCCAATCAACTCATGTCTCATGACGTTCTAGCCATGCCATGCCTAGGATGAGGTCATACCTCGCATCCATGTCTAAGACCAAACAACGTTCCATGCTGTTAAAGTACAAGAACTTTACACTTAAGTCCATCGGGACTTTGGGTACCGTAAAACGCGTACACGTCGCTACACGAACTGTGACTGTGTCACTCTCACGCGCTACAAGCGTTTCAGCATACTGCTGACTACCTTCCACAGTGTCACGGCGAACATAATTGTCCGATTCCCCGAATCGATCAAAATGATCCAAGGCTTATCATAGCCCTTAACCGTCCCTTCGAGGACTAGCAAGCCTGGCTTGCATTCTCGTTCCGTTTGTGAGAGTTCGGACCTCTTTAGGGCTGGGCCCTGTTTACTTCTACCTCCTAGAGGCTCAACAAAACTCAGTTTCGCCCCAGTAGCGCGCCCCGCGCCTACTGGGTTTCGCCGTTTCCCCGCGGCCAACTAGAAGGTTTAACCATGGGGCGTCGGCCCTTTCGGCCCTTCGAGGCCATACATGCCTTTCTTGCAGGGCACTTTGCCATCAAATAGCCTGTGCTTTTGCAGATATAGCATCTGCGCACAATTTTCTGCTCCGCAGCTTGAAGTTTGGCTTCTTTTTCCGCTCGACTACAGCCCATGGGAGCGGACCTATCAGACGAGTAGTTATAAGTGGCAGACCTAGCGGCCTTAAAGTTGGCCTCGGCATTCCATGCCACTCCAACAGATTTTTCGAATGAGGACGGGTTTACCCGGAAGACTTCAGCTCTGGCAATGCCAGCTCGGAGGCCCTCCATGAAGACCGTGACGGTCACTGCCTCAGACAGAGGGCCTATGGCCATGGCAGCAATGACAGTTCCCAACTCTTGTACATATGCCGCAATCACACGCTTGTTTTGGCGGTGCAAACTGCCGGGTCATCTGAGCTTTCAGATCGGCCCATGTGGGAAAAGCATCTTACAATGATGCACCGCATTTGAATGCCTATTGTTTGGCCAGTCCCCCTAACTTGCCCGTGGCAAAGCCAACACGGTACGGTTTATAGGTGATGTTGGCTATAAACATAGCCGACCCAACCTGTCGGAACCAAAGCATAAGGTTGTCAACGCTTTTGCCGTCGAAACTTTTCGACTTCCATATGTATGGGTTTTGGTCTGCGGACCACTTCTTGCGCCATAGTCGCCATGGGCGAAAGCGCAGAAGAAGGCATCTGTGCCTTGACATGCTCGACTAGAGCTTTATTATATTCATCAAGTATACGAATACGCTTGTTAACCTCTTCTTCGCCGTGGGTGATGAAGTACTCCACGCCCTAGGGCCAAGGATAGGAAGCAGCTTTTGCAACCCTTCCTGTTGTGTCTGTGACAGGCATACCGCTGACATCGCATCAATGTCCATTCTCACACAAAGAAGTAGTCAGAAACCCAGGTACGGGTTTAAATACAAGTGCAACCCGGTGTAGCTCAGCTACTGTAGCCAAGCTGCTTATGCACTATGCGCAGAAAAAGACAAGTTCCAACAGCTTATATGTCTTGGGTGCTTAACACTTTCTAGGCTAGCTCGCAAGCTTGTGCCTATCGGTTATCACAACCGAGTCGCAAAGAGACTAGTATCACAAAATACTACTTCCTGTCTTGCAAGGAAGAGAACGATTAAGCAGTGATGCTTATAGAGCAGGTTTGAAACTGATTTATGTTTATGTTTATCTACTAGCACTAAATATAGAAGCACCTATCCTATACTCAGTGCTATTCACTAAACTGGCTCTATAACCTGTTATTATTATGCAAACATGTATAGTCACTATACTTTAGATAAGTATAGTGACCACGTGGCTCTCTGCCACGATGCGACCCTTCGTACTTCAGGTACGGTCACATCATCTACTTTTGTACCCAAGGTACAGCCACACCACATTGGTGTGGCAGGTGTGTATTTAAAATACACACCTCCGTTACAAACGCAATGAATATGAAGCTGTTGTTTGAGGAAGTTATTTGTCATGACAATTGCGAAAGGGATAATCGATACATCATAAACGCAATACTGTTGTTTTCTGCATGTATTTGTTAACTTTTTGAGTCATGCAAAAGCAAAGATTTTAACTGTGTAGCTCAGCAAACATTGGTAATGGAAATCTTGACAAAGCTGTATCCTGGTCATGTATTATAGATTACTTTGCATCAATACTTTCTGACAGTTTCTGAGATTTACACGTAAGATTCGAGTGCTTCCATGCATCAGCAAAGTGACCTTACGCAAGGTCATTTTCAGGGACAGACTGGATTCGTTGAGTGGGACATTACATCAGAAATATGAACAGAACTACACTTGTACAACTTACAAGGAACGCTGTCGCAACGCTCGTCGCACTTGAACTGCTCTCTTCTCTGACGTACTTTGCGCTGGCAGAGCCGTCGTTACTTTTACTTAATGTGCCCTTCGGCTGAATGCTGGCGCATTTTTTTCTGAATGAATCAATAATGTCGGTTTTCATGTTTTTCGGAGACATCGAGACTCGATGTCTCCGAAATTTTGCAATCATCTAGCCCCATTGCTTCAATGTCTTTTATGAGGCCTTTGCAAGCAGAGCTGGAACAGACCACCGTAACCTGCTCTGGAGTGAGTTCCGACATCGCTGCTACGCCACGGGATCCCACATCTGACATGCATTCCGCTATGAAAGGGCTTGTCGATATGCCTAGCATATCCGTCTTGGTACACGCATCGTCCGCGCTTGCACTGCTATATATCGTCAATGCAAGCACAAGGGTGGTCAATAACGGCAGAAACTGAGCGGAGAAATTTGAAAGTGGTTGGTTGTGATCACTAACATGTCCAAAATACTAGGCGAGATGCGTTATTGAAGTTGTGCTTGACTTTTCAACACGTTTGAAGTCTCTTTTCCTAAGACTCGCACGTGCTGCTACGATCAATGCGCAAGCAGGTAATGAGAAGAAATAGAAGTTAAATTTGGGTCTCCTTGGAGACACACACACACATAGCTTCATCGTGATTAATATTCCTTAAATACTCGAAAGTACAGATGAGGTAGACTTACTTGAAAAAAACATCCAACGTGGTAAGTGCAACTATCGCTGCTATCGAGTGGCTGATACTCACATGTAATGTACTGGAAACCCAAACCGTGTATAGGGCCGAGATATTGTCTTCGTCGATTGAATGATATCACAACTGACAATTTACTCTAACGCTAGTGCAGCCACCACAAACGCAAGAGTAGATACCCAAGAGATAGAGAACGCTGAAGCAATGCTGTTCGCACTCGAAGCGGAGGCAGCACTGCTGACCGATGTGTGTGCGCTGCATGCTTCCTCAAAAGGGTCAAGAATGTCCTTTTCCAGCGACATGTCGGTGTCTGGAATGATGCAGTCACCGAAACCCATCGTCCTTATGTCGTTTATGAGTGCCACGCAATCACTATTAGCGCAAATGGCCTTGACCTTCTCGTCTGTCAATGTCGAAACGGCTACAAAGCTGCCAAAGCCTACGTCTGATGTGCATCCTTGTAGATACGGGCTGCTAGAGATCGTCACCCACTCGGGTGTAGAGCACATTTCTGCGCGAACAGTGGTACTGAAGGCCAGACCAACAACGAGTAGAGCGCTTAAAGATGTCATCTGGTGCTGCGTTTGGATAATGAGTGTAGCTTATCGTTCCGGTCGTGCGGGAACCGACGTACACTATACCTAGTGTGTCCGATATGCTCAACTAGCGTTTGTTTAACACATGAATGGTAATCATGCCATACAGCTGCTTTTGTCTACAGCGTGAGGCTCTAGACCAAAACATGGTAACGGGGCTTTCAGAAAAAGCCGACCAACAGCTACTCCTGCATGGACAAAGCTCGATGTACTTGGCCTAAGTGCTAAGAAGTAAGGGTAGCAGCATCACCTTCATGTGCTACAAATGAGCACACCTCTGCTTTCTAGGTGCTAAAATACCATTCGGGGTATGATGACGAGGCAACAACACACAATATATTTACAGTGAGATCAGCGATTGCCAAAATTCAGTTTGGCGCTGTAAACATATCTTCTGTTTCGCTCTCTCCGTCATGTAGAGTTGACACGAATGAAGTCCATCAACTTAATTTTACCAGGCGGTTGTCGATACAAGGCCGAATACCGTAGAGACATCCATTATTGGCATTCAAGGGCCCAATACAACCGCGTGGTTTGAGGAATTCAATCCACGTAGTCTATATTTAGGAAAAGGCGTACTATCGATTGCTTCTTCAGCAGTAATGGATATTGCAGTTTTGTAGCTGCGGCCGCAATCACCAGCAGCCGGATGAATAAGAAATAAGCTGCTGGTCTCTTTTTTCTGAAAGCCCCGTTACCATGTTTTGGTCTAGAGCCTCACGCTGTAGACAAAAGCAGCTGTATGGCATGATTACCATTCATGTGTTAAACAAACGCTAGTTGAGCATATCGGACACACTAGGTATAGTGTACGTCGGTTCCCGCACGACCGGAACGATAAGCTACACTCATTATCCAAACGCAGCACCAGATGACATCTTTAAGCGCTCTACTCGTTGTTGGTCTGGCCTTCAGTACCACTGTTCGCGCAGAAATGTGCTCTACACCCGAGTGGGTGACAATCTCTAGCAGCCCGTATCTACAAGGATGCACATCAGACGTAGGCTTTGGCAGCTTTGTAGCCGTTTCGACATTGACAGACGAGAAGGTCAAGGCCATTTGCGCTAATAGTGATTGCGTGGCGCTCATAAACGACATAAGGACGATGGGTTTCGGTGACTGCATCATTCCAGACACCGACATGTCGCTGGAAAAGGACATTCTTGACCCTTTTGAGGAAGCATGCAGCGCACACACATCGGTCAGCAGTGCTGCCTCCGCTTCGAGTGCGAACAGCATTGCTTCAGCGTTCTCTATCTCTTGGGTATCTACTCTTGCGTTTGTGGTGGCTGCACTAGCGTTAGAGTAAATTGTCAGTTGTGATATCATTCAATCGACGAAGACAATATCTCGGCCCTATACACGGTTTGGGTTTCCAGTACATTACATGTGAGTATCAGCCACTCGATAGCAGCGATAGTTGCACTTACCACGTTGGATGTTTTTTTCAAGTAAGTCTACCTCATCTGTACTTTCGAGTATTTAAGGAATATTAATCACGATGAAGCTATGTGTGTGTGTCTCCAAGGAGACCCAAATTTAACTTCTATTTCTTCTCATTACCTGCTTGCGCATTGATCGTAGCAGCACGTGCGAGTCTTAGGAAAAGAGACTTCAAACGTGTTGAAAAGTCAAGCACAACTTCAATAACGCATCTCGCCTAGTATTTTGGACATGTTAGTGATCACAACCAACCACTTTCAAATTTCTCCGCTCAGTTTCTGCCGTTATTGACCACCCTTGTGCTTGCATTGACGATATATAGCAGTGCAAGCGCGGACGATGCGTGTACCAAGACGGATATGCTAGGCATATCGACAAGCCCTTTCATAGCGGAATGCATGTCAGATGTGGGATCCCGTGACGCGACAGACTTGCAAGATACCTTTAGACTGAAAGCGTGCATTGCACGAGTATCAGCTGCTGCTTCACATGTCACGGGGATAACGACGGTGACGATTCCCACGACGTTACGATAAGCATTGTCGGATAAACACCAAACACTACCAACCAGTCGACTTCAACCCAGCAGGCTTCCTTTTTCTTGAGTACGTCACCCCTCGCGTCAATTACTTTCGTGGCCAGATCAATGTTCCTGGCATGGCCGCTGATTTTGCTTCGGATCATTGCAAGGACATATGCACGGATATCTGCACGGACGCCGATGTCTGACAGTCTTAAAACACCTAGCTGTCACCTGAACGTGGTACATGCCTAGTTCCTCGGAGGATACCTCAATCAAGAATCAATTGTAGTTGAGCCTAATTAAGCTTTCAATGAAGTCTTTTCTGGTAGTTTCGGCTTACGTTGTCACCATGCCAGCTGAAATGGGAAAATGCCTTTGCATGTGATGTTTTCGGTACAAGCAGCAACGTAGTCATGCCATACGTTGTCTCGATTAAAGACGTGGGTGACTGAATGTGGCTAGCTTATGTTTCCACTGCCCTGAAATGTTTGCTGTTATAAAGAATTGTATTATTCGCTTCATCAACATATTTTTTTTGTGGGGTGATAGTAATGACAAAGCCACTTCCAAAAGAGGCAGTAAGTTTGCTGGGTGCATTTGCAAGAAAACGTTATCAATGAAGCGCGCTCTGTGAAAGAGCTGCAGTGGAAAGTCAACAAACGCCGTCGGGTGACGATTGCTTATTGTCGTGGATATTGTGTGCGCATTTTGCTAAGCCGCAATGCCAACCTCGACATGACGTCGCCCCAGCTTTTGACTAAAACAAGCAAGAGGCACCTAAATGTTGCTGAGACTCGTGCTGCCACAAAAGCCTCGCGTGAACATTATAGCGATGCCAATACGATGACGACAATTCTTTCTTAACGTTGCTGAATCTCTTTTAGTCAAGTAAATTTTCAGTCGTCGAGAATTGACACTAGTTTTCATGAGTTACTGCTAACATAGAAAATGTAGCGCTTCCAATGTTGTACGAAGCAGCACAGCCTTGAACTCCTGCTAAGCTGTTGTTAAACTAGACGACAATCATCGAGAGAACCAAAGTTGGTCAGTTTTCATTAAATTCATTGTCAACAATGATCACGTCAGTATTTACTTGGGTAAGAAAGGTTTGATCTCTCCACCACGAAGAACGAACTGATTGTTCTCGGCGTACAGCACGTAATGTTGCAAGATGAACACTACATCCACTATTATGCTCACGAATCCAAGCGAGAATTTAACAGGATCTCCCGTCATAGCCGTCCAATCGTTCGTTGCCGCCGCATCAAGCACTTGTTGTCCAATTGATAGCAACCCTCCAGCAATATCCAAGAGCACGTTCCAAATGGTCCACCCGATGGTTGATTTGCGCTGGTAGTTGAGTACAATCTGCGGGAGACACTTGACCAGCGTTGTCACTAGTTTCACGTAGCTCAACAAATAGAGCAGATTAAGTGTATTGATCGCCGAGTCTTCGTTGTTACCCGAGACTGCGACTGCTAAAGCAAAAAACACTGCAGCGACAAGTGTCCCTCCAGTCCACAAGATAGTTGGCTTACTCACAGTTTGTCCACCGCGAGGATAGATCGTGCATTGAAAAATTGATACAGCCACGAGTACTGTGGCATGGAGAGAGAAGAAGACATCATTAAGTTCTACGGCATTGCGGTGACCGTTGTGACGTCTCATGTACTGCTGTTGCACACTTTCACTGTAGTAGAAGGCAACATTAAAAATAGAGTAGCACGTGAAGCCCAACATATTGAGTACTGTATAGTCTAGAGATAGACCCTCAACGCTTCGCCTCTTGCGGTTAAGAAATACTTGAGGGTAAAAACTTACACTCCAGCACAAGAAGTAAACCCAGCCAATGATGCTGGAGACGCGATTCCAGGGCTTGGGAATGTGTGCATTGGCGTCTAACGCAAGACCAAAGAGAAGACCGAAAAGGAGAATGAGGACCGAGACAACAGCGGCTCGATGATGCACGGACAAGGCCATGAACGAGAAGCTCATGAGGTAGCAGAGAAGAATGCGTTATAATACATTATTGATTGAAGTGAAAGAGTCAAGTGGGACAATGACAAGAACCGGTATATGAAGAGATTGAAAAGCGAATCAGATGAAGTGGATCGTCGACGTGGTGTGATGGAGAGCGAATGAAAGCGAACGATGGAAGATACGCAACCAAGTTGATCACCGGTATATCGGTAGACATGTCGGCGTGTATGGATTGCTTCCATATTCTAAAGAATTACGTCTCTGTTCTTTTTCATGTGTAAGTGTACTATAAGCCACTATTCATGGTAACAATCCTACTTCGTCGAAGCGTACCTGCCGTCAAAAACTTAGCGTTTTGTAGCTGCCCTCTGGTCATCATGTAAGACAGACACCAAAAAGAATAGCAGCTATCATGAAGCGCTCATTTTTTCCATCGTCTTTGCAATTAGATTCCAGTCGTAGCCTTTTGTCCGTGGAAGAGAACACCCAATCGGAACACTAACGAAGTCGTTGCGACCATTACTGTCACATTCTGACTAGGATCGGTTGTTTTGCTGATCGTAACAGTTGCGGGACACGTCAACTTGTAGTGCATTTCCCAACCCATGCGTATTGCCTTATCAAACTTAAGACAAGACCTCGTGCAAGAATTGGAAAATGAATTCGGGCGCCTTCGGTGGCAAGAGGCAGACCAGTCTGGTCGGTCTGTCGTGATTTGACCGGGATGAGCACCATGCCAGTGGAATTCCAGGCTAAACTGTTTGCGTTCAATACTTTCTCCACCGATATCGCCCACTTTATCGCATTCTTTTTGTCTCATGATCGTGCTTTGCAGAACGCCATCGAAGCTATGGCCCTTTGTGTTCTTCAAGCTCAAAAATGCAAACACTCCGAGCTTCAAACGCTTCACTTGCCATCGGCACATCAACATTTTTCCAATTCCTTCTCGTGCGTTCTTTGGAGCGCAGCATTTTCGTCATCGGTAAAACTTTATCGATCCCATGGCCGCCAACATACGATCAGTCTCAGTTCTTGTTTTGCGTGCTTCACGTCAAGTCAATCGGACCGCCAACTGCAACAGCCGCACTTCAGAGAATATCAATGGCTTTTCACAACGCTAAAACGTGCCGCCGCTGTTCATGCCGTAGAAAGTCGTGCCTACGCCGGAAAGCAGACCAACCGCGTCGAGTCAAGTGCTTCATCCCTCACGCACAATTCCTTCTAATCCCTCGTGCTGGTGCGCTTTATCATCAGAGAAAGAGCAAGTCCTTTGTTCAAAATGAACCTCAATTTGAATTGGACGGAAATGATGATGAACTAATGCCGAATGAGGTCGCCTTCAATAGTGAAGACCTTCGTATCATGCGTGACTCCATCGAACGGATGCGGCAAGAGTTGAGTCGTGGTCTGCAAAACCTCCTGGAGCTTCGCGCTTTGATGAAAGAAGTAGCAAGCCAGCAAGAGTATTGTGAAGATGTTAGATGACCGGCCACGCGGCGAGTGGACACGGGGACACACTAGTTACAGACAAGCTTCCACATAATGTAGCGCTTGAATCAATTACCTATACGAAGTCTAAAGGTGCTAGATTTGATGGTTAATCTCATTTGCCGAGTAAACTTGTTCTAACCAAGCTGCTTAGTCGTGTGTAGACTGACGATTGTCGCATAGTTTTCCATTTGTATGCTTGTCCTCACGACAACAGGGTAGGGTGGTGTCTATATGAAGCTGACCGTATCATGTCGTCTGCATTTGACGCTTCATGGGTGAATAAAATGGAACGGGGTGGTGATACAAAGCGAATCAAGCACGAGTAGAGCAGCAGAAGAAAATCGTATTGTTCAGTACGTCGATGCCAGGACGTAACTACATTTAATTGAGCGGCTAAGCCTTGACTGCAACTCCTCCATGTTCGCGCAGTACAACTGATTGTTAATTCAGAGCACCTACATTTCTGACAGCCGCACAAGCCTTTTTGACAACTGGTTGGGTAAACAGTCACCCAAGGCATTCTTCCTACTTCATGTTGAAAGACGACGATTAATGTTTGTCCAGTCGAAATGTGTTTTTGCGATATCAGTGAGCGGAGTTTGAAGGTCGACTAGTAGGTAGCAGTGTGGACCGAGCAGGTAAGAGCTTTACGCAACGAGAAAGTTAAGCTATTGCACAGCTATATCAACACTTTGTTTTACAGCTTCTCATTCAACCATGACAAGCCTTAAATAAGGCGAATCACCCTTAAAGGCAAACATACATAAGCACGTAGAGAGGAGCACAGACAGCAAGAAAACTAGGTAAACAACGCTTTGAACGTTGTCAAATCTTATGCAACCCATTTATTAATGTTTGATGGACGTTTGCACTAGATGAGACCTGGTAGGCTGCGACTGTGTCCTGGTAGCTAGCTCTCATTAGACAATGACTCAAGGTATCGGCTACATCTTGCATTGTTATCGACGTCAGACATTGCATCTACGCCGCGAACAACAGGTTCTTGGTCATCAAATGTCTTACTACCAGCTGAGAATGGCTCCAATGTCGAAATATCTGTTCACCACTTCACTCCATACTTGTCAACAGTAATGCAGTCATAATAGAGCCTTTGATAAAACCTCTCGACTTCAGTGCGACGCCCACATGACAACGGAAGATACAGACGACAATTTGCCGCTTCATGTGGTAGCAGACGAGCGTCTTCAATGCACCCACCTCTTATTCAATTCGTCTTGATCGATGATAATGCGCTTGGAAGACGTCCAATATACATCATAGCTCGCAATGTGCAGCCAGTACGCCGCGTTTCGCTTCCACTGCGGCAAAGATATGATCACCAAAACTACGACAGCATGCACCTGAGCAGTCGCACGCATGAGCAACCGGAAAAACTAAACGTTTGAACGGGACGGAAGTTTTGTTAAGCACATAAGCGCCAACAGGCGAAATGCAACATCCAGGCGACGCAAAGGCTTGCATAGACATCCAAAAGCTCTCACGCAATACGACAAAGCCAAATATGCATTGATGTCATTGCAGTGTCATTGACGTTCCAACAAGACACCATGGAGCTTTTCTAAAACATGCAATAACATCTTCTACCGCCGACGTCTTGTTGAGCGTGCCAAACTTCTTCAGACTCAAAAAACATGACACGAAGCACAACTTGATACCTCAGCACAATTACAACGATGGCGGCGAATGAAGAAGAAAGAAGATCGGGTACGACGTGTAGTCCAGAAGCTGAGCAGATGCTGCCAAAAAACACACAGCTATCTAGAAAAATTCAGACACGATCGTCGTCAAATGCTGCGCGGAGAACCACTTGCCCAAAAGTGGCTAATGCTAAGCTATCGAAGTTCAACAAGCGCTATATATGAACGCATTGCTGCAACTTCTATAGACGTAGTCCAACTCGAGCAAGAAGAAAAAGACGTTGCCACAACAATTGAGTACTTCGGTGGCTCGATCGAAAGAAATTGTCATAGCACTGCAGACGAAGTTCACTGTAACGCAGATAAATGCTATGAGCGCCAAGATCCATCCAAAGACCCACGCAACGCTCGCGCACTTAGTTTTCATAGATATTTGCCGGCATCATCAAAGACATCCTGCAAATTTTCGTCTGTAGGCTCATAGCATAGCCGCAACGATAGTTGCAGTGTCAAAAAGCTGCATCACCGGTCACACCTTTAATGCGATAGAGCCTTCGCAAGTGCCACAACATTCAATGCCACTCTTGGTAAAAACACGGATGCTGATTGCTTACACGACCGATTGAGCGGCGGCAGAGAATATTCAACTACATATTATTTGGTACGTTTGGGCCGTAGTAGATACGCATCTAGAATACTTGGTGCTGTCTTTTTTGGGTCAAATACAAATGTCTTGAGCAAGGCAAAACACAAAGTGTGTTTACGCCTCGAGCACCCAACTTGATTTGCAAGCTTCCTCGCAGGAGATTCGCTTATTCGGGTCAGGGTGGAGTAAAGATGCTAGCAAAAATGCAGCAATTGGTGATAATGTGGACGGGAAAAACCACGTGGGAAATGCCACTGGACGGCGCGGCTGGACACCACCAACACCAGCAGATCCTGACTTAATCTTACTGGTATCAGGTGAGAACGGACTGTTGCCGCTCGCCGATGGAGAGCACAATCCAGCAGCTTGATTCGGACTCCAAAGCATATTCGAGCTGTTGAGCATCAGCCCCAACATTGGTGAAGTCGCGTGGTAGCTCGGGTGGGTGGATGACATTTCTGGTAGCTGCTCTTTCGAATTACTGGAGCTTCCTCCAGCATGGAATAAGTTAACATCGAGCAGTAACTTACCCGTGTGCGGATCAACGGGCAGGGACCGCAGCCACTCGGAGAATTTGAGATACCTTGGGCACGTGACAAGGTCCCGTCCAAAAGGTAGCGTGCCTACCAGTAGTCCATACAAAATAACGCCACTACTCCACATGTCTGCCTTGCGTCCATCATATCCATACCGCGCGTTTTGCAAAACCTCAGGTGCCACATAGTGAGGAGATCCAACGATCGAGTTCAGTCGCCGGAAGCGCGACGAAGCCATGAGGTTCGTGATCCCGCTCTCGTCGTTGTTGCCGTGGTCATCTACACTACTGCCACTGCTGACAGCTGCAATAAAGTGGGCGGATAAGCCAAAATCCGCAATTTTGAGCACATCCGAGTCACTCAAGAGCAAATTTTCCGGCTTGAGATCTCGATGCACAATTCCAAGCTGATGACAATATCTCACACCAGCCAGTAGCTGCTTAAAGTAAGTCCTCGCTACATTTTCCTCCACGCCAGAGTCTCCTCGAATACGGTCAAATAATTCACCTCCATATGCTAATTCTAACACTAAAAAGATCGTCGACTTGGACGGTTGTACGAGTTCCAGTACATCATACAATTGTAGTACATTTTCATGACCGCTGCCAATGCGCTCACCCGTCACACTGTTGCCCGTCAATTTGTGCATATGTGCAATTTCTCGATAAATGGTCTTTCTCGCTCGTAAAAATGCACGATATTTTGCAGGTAAGGATGGAATCACATAGGTATTGTCATGTACAAGAATCTTTTCTTCATCATCAACACAATGTCCTCTCTGTGCAGCTTCATGATCATCAATGCCATCACCATGATGATTTTGATCTAATTTTTGACTCAAATGTAAACTTGTTGATAAACCAGTACTCGTGCTAGTATTAGTACTAGTACAAGTAGTAGACATAGCAGAAGAAGTAGCAGCTGCTGCAGCTCGTAAAGGTTCTTGTATTGGATCTTCACATGATAATTGTAACTCATTTCGTCGCTCAGTACTTTGACTTCTTCTTCTTCGATTATTATTCTCTTGTAATTCCTCATCATCATGATGATCCAATAACCAAAGACTTACACACATTTCTAATGTTAATTCACGTAACATTGGAATACTCGAATGATGATGAGGATGATTGTTATTTCCATGATTTCCTGTTACATAACACGCGACTAAATCCTTTCGTCGTGGTAAATGAACCCAATAGACATTCTCGACTGTCATGCCACGTAAATTACCAAATATTGGCACTCCTGGTTTAATAATTTCTCCACGCCGTAAGATATTTGGACTTGTAAGTTTATAACCTACAGGATTTAATATTTTAATTGCAACCGGTCGTTTCATCCGTTGATCAAATGCTTCATAGACAACACCAGCAATACCACCACCTAAATAATTCCCCATACTAAATGCACTTGTACTTGGACATGATGATAACGTAATCTGTTGACCATCATACGTTGCAACACGTTCGGGTGAGATATTTACTTCACTTAATGGCATATACTTCGTCTTAAGAAGCGCCATTTTTGAGTGAAAAGGATGGTAATAAATATCGATATGAGATGGTAAACTATAGTAATAGGAGGAACAAGTAAAGTTTCTCGCTCGCTGTTTAGACTGGTCACTCACTCTTTTTTTTTATCTTACGTCCCAAGAAGTAAAATAATAAAATGATGACGATGATAGAAACTGTCTATTTAAACAGACTTTATAGTTTGCAAAAGGACAAATGGGGGGCAACGAACCCTGCCCCTGGCTCTTTTTTTGTTTGGGCTGGAAAAGTACATAAAAAAACCAAGCAAGATTTTGGTGGACGTTTTCTAGCCCGTGTGAAGAATTCGTACTTGGATTTTGTATTTAACGTTTGACCTGTTTTTAGGAATGCGTTTGTGGTAGCAACGCACTTAAGCCGGTGAAAAAGGTACGTCATTCTCCGACAGCAAGGGCCAATTTGAGGCTCAAACATGTCAAGGCTTGTAGTATTGGATAAAAAAGCTCAGCTAGATTCAGCTTTTCTTCATGCACTACACTGACTCTATGGTATGATGATCATTCGACACAAAGGGGTTTTTATTTTTCTATATTACGTTAGTAAAAAGATCATACGAGACCCTTTTTTTGTTGTTGGTTGTAATCTTGGAATTCGGTATAACGTTGCGGCTTTGAATGTAAAACCTTTTCAAAAATAGTGGGCAGTGCAATGTATTCATACTGAGAGGTTTTCTTCGGGTGCAGCACAAACATTATATTTGTCGCAGATGTATTACGCGACGAGTAGGCATTTCTGTCACTTGATGTTTGTATGGAAATCTCTGGCGAGTTATAAAGGTGCAGGAAAAGTTTTAGAATCGGTTGCATAAACACGCAACACAAAAGTTCCACGTCTTGTTGCTTGCTTGCTTCTTCATCCGCACAAAGAGCGGTGCTTGAATAATCTGCAGTTGTAGCATCCAAATATCATGGGCTATACATGTCATACATTGTATGTAGACGTTTTTGTATAGCATATCCAGTAGTTTCAGTCTTGATTCGAAAATTTTGCATTAGAAACGTGCCGTTCGTTCGCCTTCCGACGTCATCATAAAGATTGGAACAGCAGAAGCTGGACAAATATATTGTGGTAAGGAACAAAAGTTGACGTTAGCTCGTTCATACTGCTTCTGCATTTCAATCTCTTACACAAATAAGTCAAGAATGAAAGCATGGTAAGCAGCAAGTAGTAGAAATTAGCAGCAGTACTGTATGCTGCTGACAAGCAAGATTTTGAATGCTGAAGAAACCGTAGCTTCAGTACTGAATTTTAATCAAGGCAAATCCTATAATTAGCAAGTTTTTCGAATAATCGACTAATCACTTTCGAATTTCAACATTTCAACATTCTATTTTTAAATCGCTTGTTACAAATCACAGATTTTGTGCATGAGCAATTATGAGAAGTCGTATTTTTATTATCCAATCATACTGCGCTGATCCATTCATTGAGCAAATTACCCAAAAGCTACGTCAACAATAATGGCACGGGACGACGAAGACGTGCGCGAAGCACTTCGGGCGACTCTTGGCTGGAACTTTTCCTTTGCATCTTCCAAACCTTCTTCAGCTCGTTGTCTTGTTGTACACCCAAAAGATACGACACAATTGGCGGAATGGTTTGTACGTAAATTACCTTTGTTGACGCCATCTGAAACTATGAAAAGAAAGGATAACATTGTAAAACAACACAAGATGACGCAATTCGACGATTTAGAGACACTTTTAGCAAAGAAAGTAGCATTTAGTAATGAATGTAAAAATATGGAACTGTTTATGTGTGACACGTTGCAAAAATCAAAGCAAGATAAAGTCGGTCAATTGGACCAGGTACGGTTATGTATTTTATTTCGATACAATTCTCTAGTTTTTTTGTGTCTATCCGTTGTTTACATCATCAAATTCATACTGACACTATATATTTGAATTTGGTATTGTGTGTTGTGATCATGTATGTTTTTGATTATGTAAACAACAATATGATGACAAAAGTTATCGACCATTGCTGTGCTCAAGAATTTGTATACAGATGTCCCCTTTTATACTTGCAAAGATAGCATGAAAGCTACTGAAAACCTGTTTGAGATGCAGGCGACACCTCTTAACGCCCACTTATCAACTTTAAGAGGAGTGTATATCGCTGATAAGGACAAGGGTTGTTCGTCGACAGTTACTGGAACTTCAAGATACACTTTTGCCATATTTGAGTATGATACACAATCATTGCAAGATGTATTGAAGTATAATCAAGCAGTACTAGAAGGTACTGCACATGTGGATACAACTTGTGAGTCATCATCATCATATTATCATCATCATCATAACGACAAAGAGCAGGATGCACTTGGAGATTTAAAAAAAGCGTCTGGTATTGTTTCAACTAAGTCGCGTGCTTGAGTTTCTGCATAAGCGAGGGTTAGCTTGTAATGGTTTTTCACCACGAGATTTGTATCTAACTGATACATTGTGGCTTCATTTAGCTGCATTGCCTCGTGTATTAGACGCTTGTTCCAATGTGTGTATAGGCTCAGAGAGTGGAGATAGAGACAAAACAATGCGACAGCATGTAAATGTACAAGTACCACGGGATATTCACTTGAGCTCTTCAAAATCGATTACGGAACAATGGTGCATTGGTGATCTCAGTAACTTTGAGTATCTAATGGCTCTCAACACGGCGGCAGGGCGTCGCATGGAGGACGGCGTGTTCCATCCATTTCTACCGTGGGTTACAGATTTTACGGCAGGTCCACATGGTGGCTGGCGAGACCTAAGCAAAAGCAAGTTTCGACTCAACAAGGGTGATGCACAACTTGACCGCACGTTTGCAAGTAGTGTTGTACCCCACCACATCACCGAGAGTCTGTCGGAGATCACGTACTACATTTATTTGGCAAGACGGACGCCCATGGCATTGCTACGGCGCGTGGTACGTGGTGATTTCCAAGCACGCGAGTATCCATCCACGATGATGCGCATGTTTGAGTGGACACCTGACGAGTGCATTCCGGAGTTTTACACTGACCCAGCAGTATTCAAGTCACTCCATGGTACCGACATGGATGACTTGCAGTTTCCAGTATGGGGTGATACTGAAGCCGGTCAAGACACTGCTTCAGCATTTGTGCGATGCCATCGTGCGATGCTGGAAAGTGATGAGGTGTCGGCACAACTGCACAAGTGGATTGACTTGAACTTTGGCGCTGCGCTGAGTGGTGACAGTGCAATAAGTGAAAAAAATGTCCCGCTCGTAGTACATGCTGCCGACAAGAGCCCCGGCTTCGTGCAGCTTTTCACTATTCCACATCCAAGACGGGTATGTCGCCATCAACAACATAATCAACACAAGCTCAAGAAGCGATCAAAAACTTGCTCTTTCGAAACAGAAGCTGACATTTCTCGATCGGCACCGCGACCGCAGAATACGACGAAGGAGGTGAATGCCATGCTTTCAAGAGCGGTGCAAGTTGTGACAGATGCTCGAAACGATGGACTTTCCTTGCCTCAATTGATGTTGAATGGCGGTGCCGGCTTAAGTGCATCGAGTGTTCTAGGAGGAGGTTCAAGAGCGGGTGGGCAAGAAGTCGAAGTCTCGCGGTTTGGTCACTTGCATAGCCAGAGTACTGGAGATGCTGCTACCGGCTTTAGTGGGGCTTGTGGGACAAATTCTGTGGGAGTGATAGCGGCATCGCCAAATGAAGCTACTCGTAGCCAAGTCATTATGCGAAATCTAAAGCAGCGCCGGCGAGGCGGCAAGCCACGAACTCGATCGCAAGCGAATATAATGGGAGCAGAGCCACCAAAATCACCTCCTGTGTTCCTGTCTGGTGGCGGCCGTGATGCTATCTCGTCATCAGCACCTTTATCTGGATCAGGATCCGGCGGACTGGGTTCGTCTCGGCTGGGCAACCTCTTCCATTCGGAGTCATCCAACCCTACCAACGACAATAACAGCATCACCAACGTTTCTAGCGGTGGTTTTCCGATCGGCTCAGAAACGTCAGCAAGTCCGCCAAACTCGATGGGGCCATTCAATAACTCCTTTAACAATGCAAATGGCCGAAGCTTCACATCAAGTGGCGGGCCAGCGGAGCATATGCGCGTACTAACTGTTGCCACTCCTCAGGGTGTTTGTAGTAACGTCACTGGAGGGTTTGGCGGATCAGCCGGAGAGAGAGGTGAAGGTGTCCTGTCCTCGCATCACATTCGCCATTCATCCTTGGGTGGCAGCCCGAACACTGGGTCGCATTTGCTACGCGATTTGTGGCAGCAATTGCGTCAATCTGAGGACGATGGCATGCCAGGTACAAGCATTGTTGGTGCAGGTCATGGGCATGTTTATGGTCACCATCGGAGTGCTAGTGCAGGTCACGATCTCATTTTAGCTGTTGGTGGATCGGCAGGTGATATGCAGCTTTCAGAACTCGACGCTCTCAACGATACCATTCCCGGTGTCGACGCTTCAGGGCCGCTTGATGATCTGGACCTAAAGTTGCTACAGCTTGAATTGCCGATTGTTCTCCCGGAAGCCGAGAAGAAGCAAAAAGCTGACATTGAACACCATGCGGCACTTGTACTAGAAACGGTAGCGTTAGGGCTCAATGAGCAACACACAATTGCGGATGAGATAGTTGATCCGGTATATCACATTCCTGATGATTTTGTGCAATCAGCAGCGCAAAAGCTGACCCCGTTTGAGCGTGCCCAAGCTGCTGATAGATTTTCCATGGGATGTATCGCTGCCGAGCTGTATACGCACAAACCCGTGTTCTCGCAGCGTTCTCTGAAGGAGTACCTTTTTGCATATCTGCAACAGCAAAAGCAAGAAATGCGAGTAAAAGTAACGGAAGGTGATGGCTGGATTTCGAGTATATTGGCTCCCCAAGGCAGTTTAAAGCCCGCTCAGTGCCAACTTCCGTGGAACCATGCCCTATCGGAACGACTGGCAGATTTACCGCTTCATTTAAAACAATCCGTGTTGGATATGCTACACCCAGATCCGCGCAAAAGACTGCATCTTGCTCGTAAGATCGACGGATTGGAGTCTGTAGCAGCAATACGTAGCTCGTCTCGTGCCTTGAAAGACAATGTTTGTTTACGTTCGACCGCGCCGCTGCCTGCATTTCAAGCGGCTCCATCTGCGTTATTCCCGAAAAACATGGTCGTCGTCTATAACTTCCTTACAAAGCTACACAGTGTTCCGGATTGGCATTCGAGATTCACTACTGCAAGGCAATTGTTGTCATTACTGTCAGGTCTATCGGAAATTCTATTTCGTGTAGCGATGCCAGAGCTTCTGCGCTTTTTTCGAGCAAAATCACATACTGAGACCATTTGCGCCGAACATGTGACTGCTGCTGTTGTTTTCCTTCTACCTGACATGGCACGGCAGCTTGGACGCGAAAGGTCTCGCGCTGAGCTGTTGCCTGATGTGTTGCGTGTTTACGAGAGCAGCGAGTTGGGGTGCTCGCCACTTCTGAGGTGTTGCCTTGGAGCGCCAAGCGTATTGTACTCCCTTTTGCGTGCATTTGGAGCGTCAGTGGTCCTCAATAGCTTTGTCCCGGTTGTGTTGGAGTGGCTTGTGCCCCCTGCTGCGGCAGTTACCGACACGGAGGTAAGGTCGTCGTTGGAGTCGCTATCTTTAAATTTGCCACCAGCACCGCTGTTTGCTGCTGAGTCAGCAGCTCTTGCTGCAGTGACCTTCGGTGAGTTGTCATCGTCAGCAATGTTAGGTCCGTCACTTACAGCTAAATACTTGCTGCCAATGTTATTGACGCAACTTGGCCGCATCAAGAGTCGCTGGACGCACCTTGCAGACTCTAAGACACTCCGACAAACGGACAAAAAAAACAGTTTGGTATCAACTACTAATGAGGATAGCGATTTGCTGGAGAGTGCAGAGTTTCATATCACGTTCCTGTCCAAGACCAAGCTTTACGAATCGCATCACATAGCGGACGCTGTATTGCAAGTATGTCGTGAGCTGGGCGAGTTCTCTGTGGCAAACATGCTGCTGCCTCGGCTTTTTGATGTGCTTCCACGACTTGTTGCTCTCTCCGAACAAATTGGTTCTGCGCGCATTGAAGGCATTCCGGTACGTGTCTATTCTTGCTCTTGGCACGCTTGTTGAGGTGTTTTGTAGTATGCATTTACTAACGCATTATGTCGCAGGACGAGCTTGGTCGCGAAATCTACGTGTTACTGCGCCTTCTGAGGCACGCAGTACGTACGCTAAATAATCCTACAACCTTGCAAGATCTGTTGTCTGGACGTTTGCGCAGTAGCCTCATGGAGATGCTAGGACAAGCATCTCCACCCTTCCTACATCCTCGTATAGCAACTGCGGTGATTGCAGCTGCAACTACGGGAAAACAACCAGCAGGATCGACGAGAGCAGCTGCTAGCCAAACTGCTGCAAGCTCGACAAAAACGAAAGTGCTACGCAGTCTTCACTTCATGAAGGACGCTGATCACCGCAATTTGCGTGCTTTCACGGCGGTAGGTCTTTCTCGCACAATCATAGCTGTGTGTCAAAAGATCGGTGCAGAAGCTACAGTGGCGGATGTTTCTGTTGTAAGCGGTATTAATCGCTTCCTTAAGCGATGCAGTGATGTATATGCGGAGCTGGAAGTATCCAACTTTCAATGGGACTTAGCTAGCGAGTTGGTGAGCGAACTGTGTACACCGCTTCGCACACTGTTGGGAAAGGATCTGTTCAACCGATATTTTCCTATCGTCGCAAGCAGTTCAGTTCTTCAGCTTCTGTTGTTACCCTTGAATAGCACTGCTGGTGCTGATTCAAGTAGGGTTAGCGAATTTCGTAATCGGATGATCTATAATGACCAGCGGAACATGAGTGATCTTGATGAACGACTGGCGCAGTCGCAAATTTATCTACGTCGACGGACGCCCATGGAAAATGAAGAAGGTGCGAGTGATGAAGATGACGACAATGGAGATGGCTACGACACGTCTGTAACATCAAATCCAAAACCAAAAGACCCAATGTCATATCCACTCGAGTTATTGCGCTTTGCATATCATGCACTTCGACTACACTCGGTTCGGGCAACAAGTTTCCTTCGCGTACCTTCTACGCTGCTAGTAGGTGCTGACGAGAAAGCTGCTCAATGGGAGACAGCTCTGAGCAAAGAGTTACTGCTGTTGGAGGAATCTCGCCGCCAACGCAAAGTTGTGAACGCCGCTCTGGCCCCTAAACGCGCTGGAGCCGACGCTCTTTGGCTCCGACCTCGCGTTCGCCAACCATTTGAAGCTAGATGCGATGAAGGAATGCCTCAAGCGCCAGTCGGTGGCTATGAAGGTGGTGGAGGAATTTTGGGATGCTCATGGGCTCTCAGTGGTGAGATTCGTCAGTCCATCAAAGCCCATTCCAGTTCCGTGCGATGTGTGAATGTGGATGCGGATGAAGAATTGCTTTTGACAGGAAGTCGGCACGGCACTTGTCGGGTATGGCGGCTAGCAGGTCACCCTGTTCAGGCTCGAGCAGCCGCTCTGACCGGAGTGTCCGACAGTCGTCCGATCCTGGCAGTTGCTCGCACGGGTCGATCTGGGTCCCACTTTAAAGGCGCAAGGACTGGAGCAGGGGAAGTGGATGGAATGGCAGCAGCAGCTTCTGCTTCGGGTTTGATGCTCTGGGACTTGCAAACGAGTCAAATTCGTATGCGACTACCGTTTTCCGCGACAAATGAACCTGTTGTGTCAATGACAACTGGGACTTGTGCTGTTGATCTAGCTGTGGCTACTGCTCGACGTGTAGTGTGTGTGGATGTTCGCACTGGTCCGCACGTTGTTGCCGAGTGGTACGCAAACGCTACTGGAATTGGTTCAAGTTCAGCTACATCGGGTCTGAGTGTATCAACAGTGGCTTCATTTGTTGATGGTACGGGTTATCTTGCTCTGGGAACTACAAGTGGTCATATCGTGCTATTGGATTCACGAACAGGTCGTCAAGCGACAAAGTGGCAGGCATTGGAAGGTCAAACGCGTCTTGTTCATATGGTGCAAATCTCATCGTCCCAGTTGCTAGTAGTTGGTGCTGACAAGGAAGCGCGTGTATGGCGCATCATGTTACGCAATCACAGTCCTCCTCAGCTCCGGATGACAATAACAGGCGTACCCGATGGCATTTCTGCAGCGCAAATTTCCGTCCATTCAGCTACAGACACGAGCGTTCTCTATATTGTTAGTGGTGCTCGAATACATTGCGTCCAACTACCTCATGAACCTCAAGCTGTTGTCTCAGTACAGCCTCCTGTGATTGTACGCATGGAAATGTGGCAATTAACTGAATTTGGTGGTGCTGGTAAACCCAATAAGAGTCGTACTATTGCATACAGTATTGCAGTACTACCATTACGTCAGCTTGTCCTACTTGGCACAGAGGACGGATGCTTGAAATGTGTCATTTAAAAGGCAATACAAAATTCACATTAGTTATGTCACAATAGTCGCTAATGCAATTTTTCCCAAGGTAAATATTGCAGTAAGAGATAGCAAAAACACCCAATCGAACCATGTTCAAAGACCCAAAATAAGTGGGTTTTTATTCGCTTTCACCCCCTCCTTTTCCTATGTATGAGCAGAAAAAAGGAGATCGTAATATGTAAAATTACAGCACTAGACTCGACTTCGTCTGCGTCGTCACGGTACCTTTCGTGAATTTAATCTTTACTGTTCAAGCCCTTGGCCTCGTTAATGACATTCTTATGCATTGTAGCAATTTTACGACGATGTGACTGCCAATCAGCACCGACATTTTCCTTGTAACGAAAAATATCCTGACGATTCTGTTTGTTCCAATTCACGTCCGGATGACCCGATAAGTAGCGCACGCATTGTGCCGTGCAAAGACCAGCTGCAGCCACACAGGTTACTAGTACGGGCCACGTACCCTTGTCACCAAGCCATCTCTTCGTAGCACTCTGAGTAAAACGACCAGCCATGATTTTTAGAATAAATTGGTATAGAGAAGTGACTTCCAAGAAGCAAATTACTGAATGAAGAGACAGGAAGTCCAGATAGATAAATCATAAGACATAATAACCTATAGAATATGATTAGACGATTCAGCAGTCATTGCTTAGAAACCTGTGATACTATATTTAGCTGCAAGAAATGGTATCTTGCATATGAGTGGCTGGAAGCTGTTTTTCTCCTCTTTCGTCTATTCGCTGTCGTCCTCAGAAAAATCCGACTTCGTCTTGTTTATGTATAAATAACATCTGAGTCGATGTCTGGATGTTTGACAAAGTTGAAAAGAATAAGACATGAGGTTTATTTCATAACGTAGTTTAATGATTAAAAGTACCAGATAGAAATTAATTGTCCTACGATATATATGTTTATAAATTAATTTCTATCCTTGACGTTGTAAACTTTACCAAATGCGTCACAGGTGCGCGCGCATCAGCGCTTCTGTCATTCCGCACATTGTCTTTTCTTTTGTGTAACAATTCTTCATTTGTCTATGTATACAGTGCATTAGCTGGTTCTTTTGCTGCTCTTGCCGGTCTATTGGGTAAACTTGGAGCCGATGGGGAATCGAGTCCACTGGAGCTTTTCAAGCTACAGTGTCAGTCGTCGTCGCTGATTGAGTCGTGCAGTTTATTGAGTTCATTCGTGCGCGTCTTTTGTCTGGTTCTAATGCTTTGTGCCAATAGCCTAATGGTCGGCTGCTTCGTCAAGGGCATTCATGAGACGGATTCGCTCACAGCAACTGTCACGAGTGCAGCGGTAAATTTTATGCTCTCGGCTGCTGGTGGTTTAGTGTTCTTCCAGGAAAATCTATCACCTCGGTGGTTCCTAGGAGCATTTGTGATTCTTGTGGGAATGACGCTTTTATTGCATGGAAACGCCCCTGTATCTGAGAAGAACAACAATAAGACAAAGGAAGAATAGGAGAATGAGGACGTGCATCCAAGAGATTAAGAGAAACATATCGATGTAATTTGTTCGTTTAACTCTTTACTAAGAGTCATCGGTAATCCCGTTGCTTCCACAGACGTTAATGGCAGCTGGCCAGTGATTGAGTTCGGCCAGCTCGAGCCACGAATGTGACGGGTAGCCGGATTCGCTGAACCAGTTGCAAAAGACGCTAAGTGATACTTCCTTCTCAAAGTTTAGGATGCTGGAGTCTCCGGTCAAAGATTCGGCAAACGATTGCAACACGGCATCTGCGCCGAGTCCAGCAGAGTACCGAGCCATCTCGGCGCTTAGTGAGCTACTCATGCCGTAAAACGCCATTAAGAAGCACATGAGGCTAGACTTAATGGTCTTTAACTTCGTCATGGGACCGTCGACTTTATCATTAACTTCTGTGCCACCCTTCTGAGTGCTCTCTCTGTCGTCACCGGAAATTATTGTTGCACAACACTTGAGCTTGTCAAGCATCGAACCTTTGCAAACAACGAGCAAACCGCAAATTGCTGCACCTATTTCCGTCGGGTCTTCCAGCTCGTCATCATCATCACCATCTCCTGCAATTTGCTTTTCTTCGTCGACAGAAGCAGGTTCGGCCACAAAAACACCAAGTAACGAATGAAGCATCTCGATCCCTTCGTCACTAAGAAATCCAACCTGATCTTTTGATTCCATTGACAGAGGAGCAGCGAGGGGTAATGTCCCGCATACTTTATGCAGTGCGCGCAAAATCATACTGCGTGGTGTCAACATAATACCAGCGCTATTGACACTGGGGAAGTTTAACGCTTCCAAAATCGCACCCTGTAGCTCCCATGAAGTCACCGTGTGTAGTTGTGTTTGCCGTAAAAACAGCTTAAACGTCAAAATGTCCTCATTGAAAAACTGCAGCTCTGCAGCGTCCTTTGCAATGGCAAATACCATGACGGGGCCATCCGAGCATAGACTAACGGCACTTGCAGACTTGCGAGGGTCAGATTTAGGACCTGAATCTGGTGTCGGGAGACCCCGAACAAACGGAGTGGAAACAATGTCGCTCTGGCGCACCTGCCTTCGGCGTGTCACGGGCTTCACGGAGTGTTGAATTGGCTGCATTGGCTCCACTGGCATAGGAGCCTTTGTAGGCATTGCACCACGGCTTTGCGAGCCCATAAGAGAGGCAATGTGTTTGCTTTGATAAGCCGAAGCAGGACCAGCTGCTGAAGCCACCATCGACTGATCCTGAAAGTCTTGCTGCTGCTGCCATTTATTGACGTCAAGAAGCTCCACCCACGAGATAAGTTGGTAGCCGCCTGTGTTATACCACTCGCCAAACTGCTCGAAAGTAACGCGGGCGCGCGAGCGAGCACTGCCGTAAACAGAAATACTGGCAGCGGCGGACGTCCCATTCGTACCTCCATTACTTGTGACGTCCGTCATGAGATCTCCCATAGCTTCCTCAATAAAATCATCAGCCTCCACATATATTTTCTCTAACCCAAGGCGGTACGTGCCGTCACTAAGTGCCATAAGCGCCAGTAAGAACGAGCGTAGGTAGATAAACAGCACTGAATGTGGCAGCGCATTCATCTCAGCCACTGATAATGGTGCAGGATGACGACTCGTGCCACCTCGCATACCTTGCGCACTCGAGGCAAAGTCACGGGTACTGGGAAACCCAAATGCACCACTGCTCATCAAGAACTGACTGCTTTGAACACCTCCGAGTCCAAATCCAAATCCCCCTGTTGCCGTTCCTTGCGCCGCGAATCCGCCAAGGCCAACAGAAGTGCTGGGGGGTGCCGGCGCATAGCTCGCAAGCGTTTTGTGCCGCTGTTGGCGCATTTTGGTGATGAAGTCAAACGCCAAAGAGAGTTTCTGACTTTTAGAGCCTCTACCTAAGATGCTTAGGCCACACGCAAGCTCCAAGGCATTTACACGGCCACAACGCTTGCGGTCAAACACGTTGAATAACCGCGAGAGCAACTTAGACGAGGTCTGCTGAGCCTTCTCTGACATGTTCTCCTTTGATACCAAACTGCGCACGCACTCATAAAAGTTCGCACGCGTCAAAACTAAATATGCTCCTTCATCTTCCTCCACAGCAGCATATGAGTACATCTGGCCTCGACGACTCTGAGTTCCAACAGCCTTGGACATCTTGAGCGCCTCCTCAGCTGACGGTGTCGCATAGGCTAGTAATGCGTCATAAACTTTGCTTACATTCAACTCGCCAAGCTTTGTCGAGCGCAGCATAAAGAGATACGTCGATATATCACTCTCGGTAAAGTGCAGAATGCTGCCTTCTTCAAGCATATCGAAAGCGTAGATCAGCGGCTTCTCTCGTTTGCTAGCTTCAAAAGCTTCCTTGGCCGGCCATTTGGACAGGTCAAGAAGCTCCAACCACGGACAGTCCATGTAGCCTCCAGCTGCATACCAGGCAGCAAACTCAGCAAGGCTGATGGAATCCGGGCGTTTACATGTTGCCTCACACAGTAGCTTCGAAACAACGGCGCCAGCTGCACGTCCTGCGATAGAGTTAGTACTCCAGGAGCTAATAGATCCTGTGTCGTTTGAGTTGCCTCGTGTGGCATTGTGGCTTGAGAAGGCAAACAACACCACAAGGATAGACTTCAGCATTTCATAAAGTCGGCGACGAGAAATGTGTCCATCGCCGTGGGAGGCAAAGAGTTTAAACAGCGCACCTAGCTTGGCACTTTTCGTTGTTCCACAAAACACACACATACCAGCAACCAGCTGCAACGTCTCCACAGATATGTTGCTCGTGCTCGCCCCATTTGCAAGATTTCCGCTCTGGCGTTTCCCTGCGTCAGTGCTGTCATCACCACCATTGGTCTCTTCGCTCTGTAAAACACTTTCACTTTCAAAAAGTGTAAAGATACGCAGCAAGTGGAATGAGAGGAATTCTTGCTCCTCATTTGAAAGTTGTTCACGTGGCACAAGGTCGCGCATGGCGCGCAGATACCCAGGTTTCGTTAACGAGCGATTGTGTGCGTGCTTTTTCAGCAAATGCACGAGTTCGCCGCACGTCATACGACTAAAATTCATGCGTTCTGAGATCGTGTAAACGATAGCAACGTCTTTCAGACGAATGCGTAGGATCGTGTTGTCGTAGCTTGTCAACTTGAATTGAAGTGCCACTGAAGAAAGATCCTTTGCTCCTGCCGCTGATACTGTCGGAGAAGTGATCAGATTTGCGATGCCACTAACGGCATCCATGCCTGCTTCTACAGCATAGCGATCGGAAGTCCGAAGTGCTGTCGTATCAAGGACTGTCATGTCGGAGTCAGGGAAATTTGGCACCAACGAGTGATTAACACGGTTCGTACTGTCGTTAGAAGAAACCGTGTCATTAGAAGACCCCGACCCTGTCTCGTCAGATCCCATATGCGTAGCATTTTCCAGCGCATGTTGCTGGCGACTAATATAGCGAAGAATTGCATCAGACACAGAACGAGGCACCTCTGGCCATTTTTTGGAATCTAACAACTCAATCCACGCAATGATCGTGTAACCATGTTGCGAATACCAAACAGCAAATTCCTCAAAGGAAACAACGCCTCCACGAATGAATGCACTACCAGCACCAGCACCTGACGCACTTGATGCAGCGCCAACGAGATGAAGATTAGTATCACCAGGAAAAGACCCGCGGTGCTCATAACGCTCCTGAACGCAACGACGCGATAAATGCTTCGACGAGACCGAGTCGACTGATATTGGAACGTCCAAACTGTGTCGTTGGCTGCCTTCTCGCATTGACGACATCGACTGCTTCGTGCTAAAGGTCTTGTCCGTGTCTTTAAAGATGCAGTCGGCAATCTCAATCGCAGTCGTATCCGCCACACTGGCAATAGCTTCGGCAGAAAGATCTGACCCGTTTCCTAAAGCTAACAGCATTGTCAGAAATGAGCGCAAATACTTCCACATCTCTCGACGAGTCAGACACCCGTCTCCATCAGCATCAAACAATCGATAAGCAAATGCTAGCTTCTCACTCTTCGAACCCGCACAAAACAAAGTCAACGCAGATACAAACTCGACCAAATCAATCTTGCCAGTTCCGCCACGGTTGAAGGCAAAAAATAAGCGACTGAGAATGCCCGCAGCCATCCTTGAATCCTTTTCACGGACTACACTGCAAGGCGGGACGCGTGTGTTGCTATTCGCGCCAAATGCAGCTGCTACACTAGGAGCTACGTCGACAGGCAAAAGTTTGCCCACGCATTCGTCAAATGTTCTTTTCTCGATACACGATGAAGCCGATTCGACCATATACGGCTCAAATACGTCATAAACGCGGTACAACTGCACCTGATTGAGCTTAATGACACGCTGAAATTCAAAGTACTGGATCAAGTCGCCGTTGTCAAAGCTCAGAGTCGTCAACGGTAATTCAGTTATTGCATCGTCATTGGCGTCAAACGGCAGATCAAACTCCAGCACAATCTCATTCTTCAGACAAATTGCTGGAAGCGTAGCAGGAATGCTACTATTGTAAGATCGCACAGCTGTAGAAGACGATCCGATTGATGCGGCCAAAGGAGATGGGTATTGCACGGACAATACTGCTTCGTTTTCATCCTCATCCTCGTCAATAACGTCAGCAAATGAAAAATATGGCTTTTTGGCATCCGGTACTATATCTGGAGGGCCAACGGCGTCAATATCGACCTGAATTTTGTTAGCGGTGTAGTAATTGTTGCTTGCTACGACATGATCGACTGAGCGAGTATCGAGACTCTCTAACGTGAACGAGGGCGATACAAATACCCATTTGCGAAGATCCAGCAGCTCTAACCAGCTCATTCCTTTGAATCCTCCGCCATTGTACCACAATCCAAAATCTTCAAACGTGTAAAGACCAAGTTGCATATCCGAGTTTGCGCGCGTGCGGCCACCATCACTTTCAGTCATGTTATTTTGCTCGCCACTTTCACTATTAGCAGCAGACTTCTCTTCATCGTCCTGACTGCCATCACTTTCTCTCTCTTTGTCGTCTTCCTCCTCGTCCACCTCATTTGCAAATCCTTCCATAATGGCTTCTATTATTTCTTCTTCTCCCTTGTCTACTAATTCCGCCAACGAACCATATCGAAGCAAAACAGCTTCACTTGGAGGTGATAAATGAAGAAGCGTGATAAGTACAGACCGCAAAAACCGCCACAGCTGCTCATGATTCAGATAGCCCTTGCTGTCCACGTCAAAATAATGAAATGCAGACGCAAGTTTATCACTTTTCGACCCCCGCGACATTAAGCTGAAACCAGCGGCAATTTCAAACGCGTCTACACTAAAGCAGTTTTCAGGCAAAAACGACCGAAAGATCGCAAGTGTACGTTCCAAAAATGCATTGTCCTCCATCAAGTGCGGCTTGTCGGTCATGCTAAGCAGTTCTTCAATCGCTTCCAGAAAAGTCTCTTCTTCAAGTAATCCATCACCCGTGTGCTGGACAAAAGTATCGTACATTACCTGAGAAGTTACACGCGTGAAAGCCGATTGAGCCAGCAAGTCATACAAAGTGACAGCCTGCTGCTTGCCAATATTCAACACTCCACCATCCACACTGGCAAAACGGAAGCTCAGTTCAGTAGAATCGTCCTCTTCATCATCGTACTCGGCATCACTCTCTCCTCCTTCGCTACTTATCGACACTGATTCCTCAAGCGGTAGCTCCCTTTGCGCCGAAACAGCTTGAGGCACTGACGACATTAGATCTTTCAAACCTGACCAATATTTCTGATCAAGTACCTTTATCCACATAACAGTTTTACTGCTATTTACTTCAATCCAGGGCCAAATGTCGTCTTCAAACGACACCACATCATCTTTTCCTAAGGACTTCGATGCAAGTATGCGCGTCACTGTCTCATCCACACACGTTGTAATAATTGACGTCGTTGACTGCAAGACGTCGTCATTTGTCGCAGTCTTCAGTTCAAACACAGCAGACATCGACTGCAACAAGCAACTTAGAGCAGTGCGTAGGACAGACGTGGTAGTAAGGCTGTCTCCATCCATGCCATATTTGTACAGACTAAACTTGATAGCAGTTTCCACTTTATGCTTCACTTCTCCATCTATAAGCACAAGACAGCCAGTAACTAACTGGTAAAGATCAGTGCGGTTTGTCGTCTCGAACGAACGGTAAATGCACTCGATCGTTTCTTCCATTGGCTTATATGAATCTTCTGAACAAGACGCTAGTAGTGATCGCACAAGTTCCACAAACGCGTCCTTCTCAAGCAGCACAGCGTCCTTCTTGGCTATTCGTTCATCAGCAATCTTTACAAGCGTCTCAATACTGCATGTAGATAGATTACACGCCACGAGAGCGTTGCGTACGTGCCTTACGCGTGTAAACGGTAGCACAAGCGAGCAACTGCGTGTGAGGAAGGGCAGCTCAATGTATGTGGCGGTGCTAGTGGCCGTGAGAGACGTAGGCAGCAATGGGGTCTCGTTTGTGTGTTTCTTACTCGACATAGCAATCTCCACAAGACTTTGTGGGCTTTTAGACGTCGATTGCCGAGCAGACTCGACCATAATCCAGTAGTAAAGCAAGTAAAGTACTCAATAAACAAGTCCGATACGGTGGATAACACGTAGTAACAACGTCGATTCTACCAGTGCAGACTCTTTTCTTCTTCTCCTTCTTCGTCGTTGTCTTCTTCTTCTTCCGCGCTCCTTCTGTTTCTTGCTTGGTTCTTTTGCTCTCTACCGCACTAGAGTGCGCACTTTGTTGCCATAAGTGAAACCAACACAGTTGATCTTTTTTCGCATGTTTTATAGAGCTGCGATTAGGCAACATGTTGAACCCTGGTTTAGTGACATGAGATGATATTTTTGTATAGGGAGATAATGCAACTGTTATAACATGTTGATCATTATAATCAGGATGCTGAATGACCACTGATATAACTAACAAAAGGTCGGGGTTATATATTATATTCCTGCACAAAGGTAGCATGAATGACCATTATGATTCGTATTGCAACAAGCCTGCCTACACGGGCGCATTAGGAAGTATGTAGTAATAGTTTCTTTACGTTTGCAACGATTTTAGACGCTGCAAAGCGAGGATGTAAGACCTGCAAGTGCTATGAAACATGAACAATGTCTGGGCATGCGTGAGATTACGATGGAGATCCAATGCATTTTCATTCCGTTCAGAAATATGACCAGACACCGCGCAACCAATAGTGCAATCAAAGTATATCATTTGGCCTGCTGTTATTGCCCAAGTGACTCGTACATGTTTTTGCAGAGGTTCTACGCGGCTAAGCAAATGGATGCAGCTATCTATTTGTTGCATATGACTCGATACTTTTGCTGCTAAAATGACAATGCACATGACGCGACGATCTGTGTGCAAAACAAAATGTAAAAGCGTCGTCGCGCAGCTGGCGATGGCATTGATGTGCTACACTTCCTATATCACGCAGATATTTACATATTGCAGCATTTACGACTGCTTCAGCGGGAATATCGCAATAAGCACCATAGCGGCGGCGGGTGGGCTTTTCTGCGTCCGACAAGCCGACAGCAACATAGCGGTGGACGTGCTTTTCTGGATGTTTATAAGCCGCCTATTATGCGTACTTTTGCTTGGCATCTAATGGTACTGACGGATGTACACTAGTGGTATGTTGATATGCAAAATGACCGGTTTGACGTCAACTTAGCCAATCAACACATCGAGAGTTAACCGCTGAACCGTTCGTTATCCATCGTCGTTTCCTGGCCAATCGTGGTGCGCCTCTGCTTAGGCAAGTTCATTAGGCAAGCGACAGTGCCGAAATAGGAGAGGAACTTTATATCAAACAGCATACCATTGTGTTACTCTGTATTACTTGTATATGTTTCTTTGCTGGCTTACCAGCTCAACTATACGACCTCATTGCACTCTTCTTGCAACTTGGTCTGAGCATGGGGAGCCTAAATTAAGAATGGGAATCGAGGGATCCCTTTGGACGTCTTTGTGAAAAAGGGGTTTTCACGATTCTCTCCATATCAAGCACTACAATGCTTTACTCTAGTCTTATCATACAAAGCATAGCTAGCCTACAAGCGAACTACTGAGTGGTGTCTGCTACCAAGTAACAGTGCTGAAAATCAATTTACTATCCACATAACAACAGAGACCTGCTCTGCAGCGCCTACGTGACCCTATATGCTATGACGGCATCGCTCCGCAAACTATTACAAGTAAAAAAACTTAACAGTCGAAGTCCAACGCATATACAGTCTTCTCTTTCGTGTTCGTACTTACATTTCACTACGGCGGCGATCAAACTCTGCTAGACATTGTTTTCTCAATATGAAAGACGAACATCAGGAACTCTATGCATCCAATCAATTCCAGCTTTTGGTCAAAAGTCCCTCCCTCACGTATCTTTGCACTTACTGCTAGCTTTTACCGTCACGAACTTAGGAGCGGTCGGCATGGTGTGCAGTGGCGTATTTCTCAAAAGCCGTGTCGTGAGACGATTGCCTGCTCATAACACAACGCACAACATCAGTTTGTGCTCTTTTCAGCGCAACCAACATTGCTAACATACCAGAATGACGCAGCGCACATGCCAGCGCCTGCAGCAACACCGGCACCGACACCCACACGCATACTTTGCTTCACTATACCGGGCACGATACCCACGAGAGCGCCACCTACACCTGCATTGATTGGGTCCTCTTTTTGACGAATTGACGCCGATAGGTACTCGCCTGTCGAGAACATGCAGCCAACTGCAGCAAAGACAAACTAAAAGCAATACACATATTGTAAGTCACTGACTAGCTTGTAAGTCTTGGTAAGACATTACATACCGAACGCGTGCCAAGATGCTTGAGCTGAGCTGAGAGTTTGGGTAGCTTGACACCTAAAAACAGCACAAAATACAGACAATATTGAAGCATTCAGTAACATGATTCTATAGCATACAAAAAACAGCGACTGCAGCGCACCAAGCTTGGGGATGGCCCATACGGACTCGATGGCACCAGCGGTAACGCCGAAGAAGGCACCCGCACCCTACACAGCACAGACGACAGAATAGCATGTAAGTGCAAAGCTAGCATACATCATGAAATGATGCCTGAGGAGGGGAAATAGATATGTACCGTAGTGTATACAATCTTCTCGCTTCCAGCGGATCCGGTCATTTTGTTCCAAGCTTTACAACAGAACGTATGAGGCTGTCCAATGTCGAGCTAATTCCGTGTGCTGATTGGTCCACTTGCGCTGCAAAATGATTAAGCCACATAAATACAGCTACGCCGTTATCGCCTTCTGTTCGTGCGGCCACGTTTTGGTGTATAAGCTGTACCACTCGACGATGTGAAGGTTATCTTTGTGCTTGGGGCAATACGATAGTGTGTGAAGCTCTGCTGATGCATCGTGATTGCTAGTTGAAAACTACTCCAACACCCGTGAGAAGGCCACTGGCCGGCTCCAATTTCTGTTTTATCTCCCATTGGGAGGAATTATGTAGACCCTTTTGCTGTACCGACTTGTGAACGATGTGTTTCTGGACGCAATCAATAAATGGACAACATGAGGGAACAGTACAACGTACGCTACAAATTTGTGCTGACTGCCAAAATGTAAACATCACTCGACAGCGGATGAGACTACGACTGCCTTATAAACGATGACAGAGGCTTCTGAGCGCTGCATTGAGTGCGCTGTCAATGCAACTGAATGGACCTGCTGCAGTAATAGTTGTTACGGAAACGAAAGAAGGACAGTATGATGTATGTGTGGGAGTTTATGGTTCTTGAAGACTGAAGCTTTTTCTTCTTTGCCTAAGGATTGATGCTCACTAGGTATAGTACACGTATGATTACATTGCCGCATTACTAGATGACTTATGCATTTATTTCCTACTTATTGGCGCGGCTACGGCTCCTTCATTTTGTGTTGCTCTCCGCATTAGTAAACTCACGGTCGTTTAGCTTAGAACTACGCACAATGAAGTGGACGATATGTGTTTCACTATGAACACACCTTTATGTATCTATGCATCACCACCGTTAGCAGCGGAATAAAGTGTCTATCTGGTCTTTATAGCAAAGAGTCTTTCTGGCCTATAGCGAAGGCAATGTTACTTGATGTCATCACCACTACTTCATCGTGAGAAACCTTCCATAATCCCAAGAACGACCTCGTTTTGACTTGCATTAGACTGCTTTTGGAATGTACGGATTAAGTTTGTAGCTTCAATTGCATTTTACAGCGCATCGCAGTTTCTTCATTCCATGCAAAATATTTTTTGTTTCTAAAGAGTGACATGGTAGGCATCATTATCCAATATATTATCAAATGGTCCTACATTTTTCATTTGTAATAGGATAAACGACGATTAAGAAGTATGACGAGGATATATCATGCTTTTAATATGTGCAAGACGTATATATCAGTTGTAAGAACAAGCAATCATCTCATTAATCCCCTCAGCTGCTACACCTTACTAGAATACACAGCTTGTCGCTTTCCCGTCGCGGTCATTTGCTTTCCAGTGAGGAGTTCTACCATGCTTCACCGCATCATTTTTGTCCTCTTAGACGCAGTGGAAAGGCAATGATCAGTTGGAAATTTTAAGCTCTATGGCTACATGCTATGCGCCTCATTGCAATGTCTCTATAGAACTAATGCGTTTGTAATTCTGCATGTGATGATTGGTATGTGTAATGTATTGTCTATAGCTAGCTATGAAATATGCCGACAGGATAGTTAACCAGGAAAAGTAGCTACGACAACTTAGATACGACTGACGTGCGGGGATCGTACATTGCACAGCCTGTCTGCTAGCTTCTATCTGCATCGATAGCAAAGGGTCCATGATTATGTGACCAGTGCAAATTTTGTTGTCGTCGATGCTGTCGTATTTATATCCTTGCTTGGAGAGCTGTTGTGCAGGGCTAATCCTCTGGATTACCAAGATTCTAATTTTGAGGTGCTTTGAATGTCTTGAGCCATACATCGTTAGTTACCACACAAATTCTACGCTTGTAGATAAGACGTCATCACCTTAGTAGCTGAGGTTACAAAACCGTAACGTTGGAAATGCACTGGACAAGATGCTCCAACTTTTCTCAACGCTGCTGCCATTTGGACTTAGCGGGACTAAACAATTATGGGCAGAGGGGCCAGAAAATCATGGATAAAGTCAAAGGTAGACCACAGAGGAGGGATTCACGATGGGACTGAACTTGCCCTACCTCGCGCAAAGCATAGCCAGCTGTGACAACTTTGCAGTACGGACGAAGCCTTTCTAGTTCTCAAACACCGATAGAACAAGGCGACACGTGAAGTCATGAAAGTAAAAACAGGCCGGATCGTGCAGTACATGCAGTCTAGTGCCCTCAACATTACATGCAAAGTCTCGCCTGTAAACAGGCGCATCAGCGAGCCAAATGCATCGTGCACTGAGAGCACAAAAAATGGTGACAATTAGGTACATATTCCCGACCGTATATTGTTCTAGAGATAAGATAAGAGCTGTCAGCTTTTACTTCAAGAATTTCACACATGCATGCTTTCAGCTCTAACGTAGAAGGTCACTTTGGTACATGTATTGTCATTACTTATGTATGTAATTTTCAAATCCTCATTAACTTTGAGCAATAGGTAGGTACTTATCATACATAGCGCACGTCACAACACACGAATACATTTTGGTGTGGTTGTTGTGGACCATGTACTAAAGTCAACTGCAAAGGTATAGAACGCCTTCCCTCATTGTTCTAGATCTTACCCTCAATGTTTAGGATCCACTCGAACATTAACCTCGTTTGAAAATCAATTGGCAGAATGGCTGCGGTATATCTTTCCTCTTTTACCGCCGGTATGGCCATAAGAAACGACTTGCATCTACCATACAACGAAAGAAAGTGACACATATGCGGGTTACTTCGAAGTGTATTCATGTGGCCTATCGGTACCAAAAAACATATATTCGAGCGGCTATCCGCTTTGACATTGTACAATAGCAGATGTGTCAAACAACAGAAGCTGTTGCCATCTAGGTATCACATCTGGCGGTAGATGGCAGGATGACACAGCCACTTTATATGGCTCACAATACCTGCAAAGCTGGATCGTAGCGACTTTATTCAAGCACCACCAACATATGCGATCTCCATCCATTTGATTTACCGTACATTAACTGACGGTATCATAACGTCATCACAACCTTATTTTACCCAAATTCAAATTTGAGCACTTGTTTGAAACGGTCTGGGTCTTTTTACATAAAACCTCTATTTGATTCTAAGTTTACGCCCACCTTCACCTCAGATTGTAAGCTTCAAATCATGAAAATTAAGGTAAAATTTAGCGGGCAAGCTTCAGAATGCGCTTAGTTTGAAAGCTGTCCGCTATACTTCGAAAAGAAAGTAGCAGCAGATGGTGCCTTTGAAACGCAAAGACCGATCGGATCCAAGAAGCAGGCGAGCATTTTAGCGTGATCAGGCGGCTCACGCGTTGCGCAATCTCTCCAGGAGACTCAAGTTGCAGGGTCGGCCGCAAAATTGAAACACCGCGCGGCTTGTCTGCCTTGTCCCCCGCCTGCTCGGTTCTATTGCAACTTGCAACCGTACTCGATGCCTCGTTTGCTGGCCTGCCAATTCTGCTGCAACTTGTCGGACTCGGTGCTTAAGTCCCTACTGTTGACGAGCTATAGCTGCAACTACAGGCACATGTTGTCTACCGAAACTCGGAGACATGTTGAACCTCGTAGGTGATGATGGATGCTGCACGTCGGCATGCATAGTGATATATGCGACGGTAGTACCTGAAGTGAAAATCTGCTAGACATCTGAATACATGTGAATAATGTTCTGCCGCAACGTGGCGGTTTTTCAAACGAGAATAATATCGGGAGCGATCTACCTCGTTTATATATCAATAGGGCTTGAGTTTTGCTCTGTCTGCCGCAAAAAATCTTGCTGTAAAATCTGTGGATAAGTCTAGCCTTGCTTGAAGCCAAAGTTAAGACGCTCTTGCTGATTCCAACTTATAAGGCCGTACATATCGAATATTATATACATCGATACTGGTGATGTTGGAATGAGCAGCAAGCAGCCTCAAATGAACACTAAAAATTTGGTCTGGTTCACAAAGTGGCTTCCATGAATTCTTGTTTGATAATTTGAGTCTTTGCCCAGGCATTGGCATCAGATATGAAATATTCATAAAAAAAAACGGCAGCATGGTTGGTTGGTCTCAGTGCTTCCTGCATCGAATACATGGTCCTACATCAATAAGAGGGTCATGCATCAAATAAATGGGCGAACATCATTGACGTTCTTTTAATGCATTGGCAACGTTGGTTTTGTTGGTAGTTTTCGCTCGAGCGTCTTGTCGGACCTTGCCACCGTACCGGTAGTCCGGCCGCAAGGCCGTTTTTCAGACAGATCAGACTGATCAACAGCGCACTGCTCTCTGTAAAAATAGTCTCCGCCTCTGCACTCGGCTTTCCCTTGCCATTCGCCTCGTCTTCTGCCAGCTGCCACGCAGAGACGTGGACCGCCCGCGAGTAAGCAACTGGCAGCTTACTTAAGCAGCTCATTTTGCCTTCCGCTCTTCGTTTGATACTTGTCCGCATCCATCTCAATTCTGTATCAATGACGCCAGTAGAGATTCGCAGGGCCAGCCCTATTGGCAGCCCCATGAGTCCGAGTGCCGTAGTATCACCCTGGACCAAGGACGGCACGTACATTATAGAGGCCACGCGCAAGGCGCACGCCTGTTGTAAGTCATGCAATGCCATCATTGAGGCTGGTCGTCTGCGTGTGGGTGTCGTATACCAGCATCGCAATGGCTTTGTATGCATCAACTGGCACCACGTCGAGTGTTACAAGACCGTGAGCGAGATTCCACTCCAGTGTTTTGAGGGTTTTAGTGACCTTGACCGGCAACAGCAAAAAGTGGTTGAAAGCTATCACCTCACGAAGCTCGACGCGCCTTATCTGCCCAATCGTGTCAATCGTACCTGCTCCGTATGAGTCACAATGTGGCAGCTCTGTTTTGGATCGTCTTATCTGTTCGTCTCTTTCAAGTTCTAGACATCATGTAATGGCCGATATTTAGGCCGAGTAACTAACTTTGTGAGGCCAAGTCAAGCTAGCAATGTAGATAGCGCTATTATTTAAGAGCAATTACCAATATGAATGAATACTGTTTAAAGTCTCTAATATGTTTAACATAGCTTAAAAGCACGTATGAGTCATACAATAATACGATAGAAGTTTTTGTATTGCTTTATACTAGTCATCCTTTTCTTGTTTGCTTTATAGCCTACCAGATGACCATAGAAGACTTGAAATAACTGAACTAGGAGTGTCAATTGGTTGTTTGTTGTTAACCTAAGACAATAGCCATTTTTCTCAGCAAAGTGTTGTCACTGTAACAACAGTGATCTAATTCTATCTACACACTTAATTACAACAAGCAATGTATACTGATTCTATCATAGATGAACACAATTCGAGATACAGAAATTAATTTTATTTGCTTATTCGACTTTCAAGCAAAGGTCATCAAAATTAAACCTAACAATACTCACACTATCTAGAGCTCCTGTGCTTATTATTATTACTTACTCACTCATGGACGTACAGATGGAAGACCATAGCCATAACAATAGTAGTAATCACACTTCACATGAGGAAAAGTTTCGTGTATATAATGATGCATTAATCCATGCATCCAGGTGTCAAGAGACGAAATGTGAAGCACATAATGGACGTTGTCATAAGGTAAAGGCCAGTATTGATCACTTTGTGCGTTGTTATGGTCCACGACGCAAGATTTCTCCCATTGAAAGGTATGTCTATGTGTCGTTATTATCATGAGAATCCAGTGTCTCACTCTCTCTCTTTTCTTGATTGTAATTTGCTCATTCCTTGTAGTTGTAAAATGTGCTCAAAGATTTGGGGTCTTCTCTGTTTTCATGCAAAGACATGTCAAACACCATTGGGTCGACGCTGTGCTGTTTCACAATGTGATTATCTACGTGATAAGATTACACGTAAATGTCAGAATGATGGACGTGAACTACAGGAGGCTAAGGTCAAGGTCCAAAACAAATTAGAGGAATGGAGTGTCGAGCGACGTATTGCACAGGTGGAGATTGACAGACAGCAGGTGTTACAACTGATTGCAGATATTCGTGCGCGCAAGGCGCAGGTAGTACAGACAACACAGCAGCAGCAGACTATGATATCCATGAGCTGAGAGAGAGACGAGAAACGTGGTGCTGATGATTGTATTTGTACATCTCTGCGTTCAACCTGCTCAGAGTGGAAAAAGTTAGCGTCTTGCGAATGGAATGGTATTTGCTTTTTATTTTGTATTCTGTTGTGAGTTGTTTACGTTGTTGTCGTTGTCTTGTCAGATATGCGAGCAAGGTGAACTAGAGTGTACTTGTTATTGGGTTGTGTGATGCAGTTTGCAAGGATAAAAGATAAAGATAACTTATGCTGTCACATTTTGAAGGATTGTGGCCCAATTGCTACGCCTGCAGCATATGCGCAATGTTTTCACGGATGCAGGTGCTCAATAGCAAATGGAGCTGCAGCGATGAAGCAGTTTGGGTTAAAGGAGGCAATGTTGTTGTCATCATGGCAAGGTGCACGAGTAACGATCGAAGCCTTCGGTTGCTATTACTCTGAACGGTAGTAAACAAACAAGCGTCTTGCACATGATGAAACTCTATTTGGTAATATGCCAGACAGCTTTAGCTGAACAGGAGATAGACATTTGCTACAGACGACTCAAAAAGCAGCAACATTGCTTGCTGTCCGCTTGATACCGTGCTGCAAATACGGTTGTAACGACACATACCCTTGGTTTGATATATCAGCGCTGATAATGGCTTTGGCAGGCAGCTTTTAACATATCTGTAAACAAAATGGAGGAGAGTATGCCAAGAGTGATCCGAGGAATTCCACAACCGAATCCATGTCGAAGATAACGCAGTCATCCGTATACCATTATGCTTTGAAATGTAGACTGAGTACAAACAGAGTTTGAAGGAGATATCATGTAGTCTGTTAGTAATTGAAGAAGAAGGTTTCGTGGAAGACGCTGAAGTTAAGTCATTCAGGGTTTGGAATGAAAAATTGCTGTTGATGATCTTTTTGCCCGACAAATGGTCTGCAGAGTCCGACGAACATGAGGAGGATAAGGCTACGGAAAAGCCAGAGAAGTCAATGCTGATCTGTCAAATCAAGACGAAAAATTAAAACTTATCTGCGGGTAGCTCCAGTTTTTTGCATCCCTTCTGTCGCCCAGGAAATGCAGAAACCGTGAAATGGCACGTGAATTCTGTCATATTTATGCAGGTGGAGAGCAAGGCAATAGCTTTGGTGCTGCTGAAGTTCTTGGTACAAACATTGCACTGGATCATGCCAAGCCTGAAAGTTTTGACTGAAAGGAGAAGGGTATCAACGATATTATGGGTGCGATTAGATATGAGCTAATCGTAGAGCTGGACGTGCGACGATCAAGATTTGGATGATGTGCACGAAAAATTCATATGAAAAGGAAGGACCGTAATGGGTTTGAGGGTAAAGAACCGGAGCAAGAAGTGAGCGTTAATGAAAGTTGCTGACGAATACGCTACCCAGACCTGTTCTTTCAGCTTAATGATGCACTCGTAGCACCAGAAAACGATGTAAGGATGATAAGTTGGAGAAGGTGACTGTAGACTGAAGTTCCGGGCGTGTAATCACAGAGGTTGAGCCGACAAGAACGGTAGTGTTGTTGCGCTTTGAGGTTGATGTAACTAATACATTGTTCATGCAACTACTGAAGACCTCAAGTAGCTTGACATGGGGCCTTTTGAGGTTGCTGCCGACTGTGGAGGACTAACCAGATACGCCCATGATCCTTTTCACATGCGATATATTCTTTCTTCGGCATTTTTGCATTGACTAGTACATTTCAAGGCGTGAGCAATCAGCAAAGATGTGGTAATACCTGATGCAAGTGCCTTCTTGTCCATAGCGTTTGACTAAAGCGCAGTAACGTCTGTGAAAGCGTGGAGGGGGGTGTTTTCCAAATGACCATACTTGGTATCTGCTAACATGGACACGAAAGCACGACCAAACGAAACAAACACGTACAAATGAAATGCAAAGGGTGTCGAATTTTATTTTTGAAGATAGTGTTCTGCAAGCTGCCGTTCACATTGAAGAGATAAGTAGCAAAAGATAAGAGACGAAACCTAAAGCAGTTGATCGCTACCAAAGCATCACATCAACAATTTACCAGTACCGCACTCAATTATCATTACATCTGCGTCATATTGCACCTCATTTCTTTTCATTTGACAGGCTTCCAAAACTCACTCAGTTTTCACCCGCTTCACATCATCATCACCGTCACTATCACTGTCGTCCTACAAACCACATCACGTAATAAGTGTCAGTCAACGCTCATCAAGACAAGTTCCACACAACAAATGTCAACACACCTCTTCCAGTAACCGCTTTACGCCGCTACTGATGTCGTTCGTACTATCACCTGGTTTCGCCCCCTCGAGTGCAACAGCTCTTTCGGCGGGGATCAAATGTGCGGGGGTGACATGCTTCGAATTCGCCATCACTGTGTCGTAGCAGTATTTGTGGAAGATTGTGTCCTGCTGTTCGTTACCATCTGGACCAGCGTCATGGATCGTGCCCGCAACCGCGTTAGTATACATCCAGTCCTCCTCTTCTTCATCCCAGCTTTTCGAAAAGTTCTCGCCGCAAATCTGACAGCGAGTTATTGTCTCAACAACAGGCACGCGCGCGTTCTCCCATGCGGCTTGCTCACCTGCATTCTTCTCATCTTCCTTTTGTGACCGATCAAAGAAGCTGCTACTTGTACTCTCACGGGGTGCTGTGCTATCAGAAATATCGGCCACCCACTGGTTTTCGTCTGGGTACCATGATCGAGAAACACCACCTTTGCCTCGCTCTTTACGCGCACGGTTATATTGGAACAGGAAGTCCAAATGCGCATCCAACTGGGCTTGTTCGCGGAATCTCAATCCACTCTCGCGACACACAAGTGGCAATGCGGCATACAGCTTTTGTACGTTAGACTCGACACGGTCCTTGTGAGCAACAATTTTGTCGCTGAACCACATACGAGACGCATTATCGTTACGTGGCTGAGCTTGCTGCTGCTTATCTCCTTGCCGCTGAAGTGACTGAGACTGCTTGTTTTGCTGCGATTGCGCTTGAGTAGTTGGCTGTCCTGACAACGCGCCTCCGTTCGACATTCCCTTCAGCTTCTGCAAAATAGACATGACAGCTGCCGCATCAGGTGCGCGAGGATTATTAGTGATCTCTTGAACTGGTTGCTGCGGTGAAGAAGGAGCACGCTGCTTGCGCTTGAGTAATTGCATCAAATGCGCAACATTTGAAGACTTTGCTGCTGCTCCAACACCATTTTTGGATCCACTTGTACTAGCGGCTGTGCTTGGTCTAGCAGATTTGACACTAGAAACTAGTGTCGGAGTGGCCACCACCTGAGCTGGTTGTGCACGCGGCCGGCTTGTTTTGGCCCGCAGATCGTAAGAAGGAGAATGGCGAGAATCTCTACCCGTAGGAACTTGATGTAAAGAAGGTTGCTGTCTAGCATTTTGAGGAGGTGCACTAGAGGCACCAGGTCCTCGTGTTGCACTTTGGTGTTCAAGCTTTGAAGCAGCACGAAATTCGAGTAGCTGATTGTAATAATCTGGGTTATTCGTCCGCACTTCTTCAAGACTCATATGTTCCGTCGGGTGGATCCCCATATCGTTCTGTAACTTAGTAAGTAGCGACCGTAGTTCCATATCCTGCTGCTGCTGTGCCAACTTTGCACTGGATGCAACATTTGCTGCGCGCGTTGACTGGGCCGCTTTTTCTTGGTTGATGCTTGCAGGTGCCGAGTGAGCTGATGGACCAGCTTGCTGCATGGCGCGATTTGCTGCATTACGCATTAGTGTAATTGCTTCTTTGTTAAACATACGTGTAGTTTCCCATGTGTTCAGTACATGGATGAATCGTTTAAGGTCTTTGCCTGATACCTGTTCATCATTCACACACACCACAGACAAAGATATCACGCTTGAGAATGACACAACAACAAACAACAATTTATATTCTTCGATCTTGACGTTAGTCGACAATCAATTACCTGACGCACGCAATTGCAGTAGAGCGGTACAATCTTGGCAGCAAATAAAGGCACATACGATCCGCGTATATTTTTAAGAATCGAGTCCGTCAAATAGAAAATAGGGAGTTTACAATTTGGCGCAACCTGTGAATAACAAGCAGAAGGAAAATGAAATCAGTTTGTTTTACATTATTCCTGGGCATTTTCCAGCGACACTTGTCGGATATCTCCAAGTTTCACTCTCTCTCACTCTCTCTCTTGTCTTTCTCTCCTTAAGTCTATCAATACGCGTATTCTAGTTTCTTCTCCATGTCTTTCTGTCTTTGTCTCTCTTCTAATCTCTTTTCCTCTCGCCTGTGAAGAGATTATCAAGATGAACAGAGCAAAAAAAACGTGATACAAAGCACAATAGAATGGAAAAGAGAAAGTGATAGAGAGATGAAGAGATGGAGAGAGAGAGAGGGAGAAGTAGTCTATAGTAAAAGAATAAATAGACAGAAAGAAGAGAAGGGGTGGAGAAAGAGGAGAAAGAGGTGGAGAACTCTTAAGAGATAGAGAGATTCATTACCCGATGGATCTTGGTCTCCAGGAAGCTAACAATCTCAGGAGCAAATTGTACGTTCTCAGCAAGCATTGTCAATGTATTGATCGTATCCTTGGCTGGATAATCCATCATATTATTGATCTGTGTATCAAATTGGCCCAATAACGTTTGGATCTCGGGTTTCTTAATGCTTGAACTTGAGCTTGAAGAGACGAGACCGGAAGAGCAAGCACTTGTATTCGATGTAGACGAAGCGAGTTGCGCCATCGCCATGGGTCAAAAGAAATAACAAGACTGCAAAACCGGAGGCAGCAGCAGATGAACACGAGGCTTGGGACTTGCTTGGTCCTGGCTGGCTTCTTGGTCTGGAAGAATACAAGGTTACACTAGGAAAATGTAGTTACTGTATTGGGGTTAAATGATAGAACATTTTATACTCTAATATACTCTATAAACAGATTATAAATATGTATTTGTAAATTGATTTACAATGTAAGTGACCTGTAAAAGTTATCATGTCTTGTATTATCTAATATATATCAATTTCTAATTACGTTCTCGAGAACTTGTAACAGTCATATAGACACTCTATATTATGCAACTTATTCACATAAATGATAAAATTACATACATAGCCTGCAATTTACCTTTCATTTTTCATAATGCTTTGTCACGATCTCTCGACTCGCTTGGCCTCGTTCATCCGTCCTTCTCGTGCTCTTTCGCCTCAAAACCTTCGAACGATATATTCTGCTTCCATTACTGACGCATGGAAGCTCACACATGTGCAACAAGATAATGGACTTTCTTATATGGTGGACATAAGTGCAAAGAAAGTCACACAACGACCAGCTACTGCTCGCTCAACGATCCGTTTGCCGCCGAATGTCTTGGCCGAGCTCAAGCAGAGTGATAGTACTAAATTAATGGGTCCAAAGGGACCCATAGCTACTACTGCAGTCATTGCGGGTGTATTAGTTGCCAAGCAGACGAGTTTACTTGTCCCTTTTGCCATTCATTGCCTTTAGAAGACTTTCAAGTGCGCCTAGAAGTGGAAGAGCCTGCCTGATACCATTGAGATTGAGTGTCAAGTACATGTGACCCACAAGACTGGCGTGGAAATGGAGGCACTCACAGGTGCATCTGTGGCTGCATTGTGTGTCTATGATATGTGTAAGCCTTGAGTTATGACATTGTGATTGAGAACACGAGATTCGTGGAGAAGACTGGAGGTAACAGGGACTTTTCCAACAAGTTGAGACCATCGAAAGAAGACACGCTTTAGCCATCCAAGTCAGCATATGCATTGTAGCCGAGTTTGTGACGAAAAATTGAGATAGAGAACAGGGAAGACTGGCGTTTGTATGTGCTTGGCGAAGCTGCATTTCTTGGCATCAATAATCAACTGGGATATTACTGTTGAAGCAGATGTAGCAGCAAGTCCATCGTCGTCTTCACACTGGATGTTCTGTTCGTCCTGTCATCTTCATACACTGCGCTGTTAGTGTTGGGGTATGTCTGCACCTTCAATATCTTGTGTCTTGCTGAGGGTTGGCATGGTATGCTAAGGCGTATCTGTTTCGTACATTCGGCAGATTATCGTCCACGCCATACATTTCGTGTTCCTCGTCGGCTTTCGGTGTCATTGTAGCAATAGACGCAAGAGGATCAAGCCATGCTATGTTGTTATTACTTAGATCGTCGAGTCTGTTGTGTATTTTCGTCTTCATCTCGTATGATCATCGTTCTTTTGTTAGCAGCTATAGCAGTCACGACAACTTCATCAGTTTGATGTCGTATAACTGAAGCTATCAGTTCAAGGTGGCTCGACTTCACTCGCCAGCTCTCTTACAAGCTCGAAAGCAGAATTAACTTTGCTAGCATTGGAAGACTGAATGCCAAGCAGAGATGTACGCATACAGTAGCGCATACCTTGTTTTTCACTAGCATTCCATCCAACAGTTTCTGCATCTGCTTCTGTAAGTTACAACAGCGCAAAAGAAAAAGCTTTGACGAACTACATTGCAAAGCTTTCTACTTGCCAAGAAACTGCCATTTCTACAAGTAAATGATGTTTCTAGAATCTCCATAAACATTCATTCTTCACCTTGATGTGTCCCTATCCTCTTCCATCGCAGTCAACAATTGCTGCAACTCTTTCCACAAAACGTCTCGGGCTTCACCTTCCACGGCTCCTTCCAGCTTCGCGCTGCGTTCTTCATCATTCCTGGCAAACCATACGTGAGAAATATGCGTGTCTCCCTTTGGCAATGGCAAAGCATGTTTGTCCTCGAGCCATATGGGCGGTCCTTTAGCCACAAGCCGCCGCAGCTCCGCCTTGCAATCCGTTTCTTCAACCTTTTTCATGAACGTGTGGAATTGCGTGGCCAGTAGTTGCTCTACAACATCCGAGCAGAAAAGAGCGGCATGCCACGAGCCACTTGGGGACGTCTGGAATTCGCAATAGTTGCCATCTTCTTCCGTAATATCGTCCATCGTCGCCATGCACTCGAGACCAACGTGAGGTTTACCGTGTATCGTCATGTTGCTTGAGCAAACTCTTAGCTTTTGATTACAAAATTAAGCAGCAAATATTAGGTTCTACCCACTAATATTGTAGCTATAAAGGAAGCGATTTGGATACTTTCTTTACAAGTTTATAGATATTTGTTATTCTTGATTTCCAAATTCGTTTTTGTTATAGAAAAATGACATGGAGCATTTATCTTTTTAGTACTCATCACAAAATCACATGTCGCACATATTCGGAACCCTTGTGCGAAGTAAATAACTGTCTCTGCGACGAATCATTGGGCGGTAGTTTCGGTAAGTCTGCTGCCTATTAGTACAAGTATATAATTGGAAAAGCTGTTATGTACAGCAGGAAGAATTTGACCTCGTTCTATTGTCGATTAGCTGCATCTCACACGCAAACTCTCTTCGAATGAGCGAACGCCTCGATCGTGATATCTTATGTATCGTCCAGTTAGTGGCTGACGTCGAGATACAAGCTCGTTAAAGCGTCCACTAATCTTCGGTCCACCCTTGTTCATTAAGCTCCCACTCTTGATACACGAAAAAATTCTGTTTCCTGCCTATACCTTTATGTATCTTATGAAGTCTATAGTAATGCAAAATAGCTTAAGTAGTTATTTACGTGATGAAGCAGAAATGTTTGCAGCATGACCATAGCCACGACATTATTACGGCTGGGACCAAAATGCTGGACCAAGACTCAAGATTGCGGAAGTCTTTGACAAGAGAATGTGGTGAAGCGTTTCAGAAACTGGAAGGTCAGAGGACCGGTGGGTCAAAGAGAAAGGGACCCGTTAAGGAGGAGCGACCGTTAGAGGAGAAGAATGTACGGTCAAAGCGTGCTAGTTTGCCGCCATTCAGAGGAGAATACCGCGATTAGCCGATGGACCGTGGTTCCTCTAGGTGAAACCCAAGCTTTCAAAGAAGACCCTGTCTATCATTGCTAGACCTCGGTCTTTCATAAAGATAGACCCTGGCCCTTCGTCGGTGGGCTATCGGCCCCGGTCCCTGAAGGTTGACCTTGGTCCTTCATCAATGGACCTCGATCCTCAGTCAATAGACCTTGGCCCTTAGTCGATGGACCTTGGTTCTTCGGTCTATGGACTCTCGGCTCCGGTTCCTGAAAGTCTAATTTAGTCTTTTTGTGGTCTCTCGGCCCTGGCCCCTGAAGGTCGACCTTAATTCTTCGTTTGATGGACCCTAGGCCCCGGTCCCTGAAGGTCAACCTTGGTCCTTCTTCAATGGATCTGAGCGCCTCGAGAGAGCTGCTAGACACCAACAACCTCGTTTCTCATTCACCTGGGCTCTCGCCCGCTGATAGTGTTGCTGAATGTAATATCTCCATCTGCTCGGTCCATATCCTCGACGTCGCGCATTTATTGCAGGTGAGGTAGCTTCGAGGGTGGTTCTAGCATCCCAACCATGGACCAGTTAGAACGGTGTCTCCTTCCGGACTCGGTCTTGCGCGGTGTTCATCACAAATGTTAGGCGTGCCTCTGTGTCCGAAATCAGAGACATACATCTTGATGGACCTAGTCAGGGTCTGAACCATCCTCTCCGCGTTCCCATTTGCCTGAGGTCGATAGTCCATGGTAGCCTGTTGACGCTGGCCCACCATGCGACTAAACGCCCGAAAAAAATCCGACATAAACCCTGGCTCTCGATCGTAGCGGATTGCCTCGCTAGCACCAAAACGGCAAAAAACGCATTCTTCGTACCCTTTAGATACCGTCTAGGCCGTTCGCGACGCCCTAGCCTTAGCCATCACATACCCCGTGAACAAGTCGACCCAAATTAGTAGCTCGGTATTGTTCTGTGCGACCTGAGCAGAGAGGTAATATGATCCATCGCTATTATCTAGAAAGGGTATGTTGCTTCGACATTTCCTGGAGCATTGCTCTGCAGGGTAGGTCCTCCTTTCCCAGTCTCGCAATCCACACATGTCCCCATCTGTACGTTTCGAAATAGACCTCCCCAGTGGCAGTACCGTCGGATTCGGTATTAGGTACGCCCAATTCCTTGGTGACCTCCTTCCGGACTGGTGTAATAGTGATGCAGGACGTCAGCTTGGAAATTTTCGGGTATCACTAGTCTGGCCGTTACCTCTCGGTCGTCTCTCTCGACCCTCTGACCGGGACAATACAATAGTAGGCCCTCTTTACTTATCTCGTAGTCCCTGGCCAACTTACTGCACGATTGAGCGGACTCCATGGACAGATCGACCCAATCTCCCTTAAAGTAGGCCTTCAAATCTCGCATCCAGTCCTCTTGCTCTTGGGCCTCCCTAATTCGATCTGCCCGGAGTTGTTGTATCACACCCTCTTGCATGATTTCCCCTGAAATCTTGATAAGAGCTCGAGATCGAGTAACCGCTAGCACCTTGGCCGATGGACTCCGGTCCTTGGAAAATAGTAACTCTGGCAACCGATTAATTGCTTCCAAATCCAGCCATTTCCCTTCTGGTGTCGACTTGATACCTTCCTTTTGATACAGAGCTGTGCTGGCCAACTGGTCTGCACTCTGATTCCAATCACGTTTTACGTGCACGATCGCCCTGACAGCAGCTTATTCAAAGCTCTTGCTCGTAATGGGGACAATTCTGAAGCCTTACACTCGATCTCCTCTCGCATTTGTCGTATCATCAAGTTGGAATCTTCACAGATGATCAGTAGCCGTCGTTCTAGAGGCTCTAACAAGTCGAAACCCAGTAGCATACCCTCATATTCGGCCTCTTTCATTGTAGATGTAACGAGAGACTTCGAGGCAGTCTTGACAATGGTCCAATTGAGCAGTCTCCATACAATATCATTACAGGCTGCACATCCCTGTTTCGCACGGGACGATCCATCAAAACTCATGACGTATAACGCTTTGTCGGGCTTCACAGTTGGTGTAAGCAGGTCGGACACTTGCTGCGCCTGTTTTTTGGGGGCAATTTACGACAAAACCGAGTCCACACTTTTGCGAGACGAATAATACTGGCTGCGAGCGCCCCCCAGCACTTGGTCATCACCTTTCTTGCACTTAACAATCTCCATAGTCCATTGGTACAGAAGGGCAGCCCAATTACAAAGACGTCCCTGTAACCCCGTAGATCTGACTAGCCACGCCAATGTAGAATGCCTCGTCAGGGCCTTAAGGGGTCGAGTGACCAACATCGTAAAAAAATTTTCCATTATCCGTAATAAAGCCAGCATTATTTCTCCACCGTACTGTAGTTTAACTCGTTGGCCTTAACGGTCCGACTCGTAAAAGTCACCGGCGCTAGAATACCACCATGGTCTTGCACCAACGACGCGGATATGGCCCATTCACTTGCATAAACGATGATTACTGCCTCCTTGGACGGGTCAAAGTGTCGCAAGATAGGTGCCGTGGCAATCTTATTCTTGAGCATTGCGAAGGCTACTTGGGCCATGGACCATTTCTCCTCGTCTTCTGCCTTAGCCACGCCGCTGTTTCCTTGCCTTCAACCTACATCGCCAATCCTGAAAATCCACCTCGCGTAACTCAAAGAGGATCGACGCATACACCGCATAATCTTCAATGGATCTATGATCGTAATTTAGACTTCCAAGAAACGATTGCATGGCTTTGAGTGTCATGGGCAACGGTAGGTCGACCAGGAAACGGAGGTCCTTTGGGTGGGCCTCTACTCCTTGATCCGAGACCCGGTGCCCAATGTAGTCTACCTTTCGGCACCCCCATGAGCCTTTGACCGCGCTGATCGATAGATTTCACTAGTCACACACATCTAATAGCCGATCAACCATTGCGCACAATATATCCCACGAGTCGGCCGGTATCAAAAAGTCATCTATGTAGGACCGTCAACCCAGTACCGAGGGACCCGACTTTACATCAAGCTTCCCCATCGTAAGCAAGTCTTCGGTCTTCTCTGTACCAGCTCCTTGAGAATACGTAAAAATCCATACAAAGCATTATCCAAGAGTCTCTGATATATCTGAGGCGCGTTCTTAAGTCCAAATGGCATCCGTAGCCATTCGAACAACTCCAATGGGGTGATAAACTCCGAGATCCTTCTTGCCCTTTCGGTCATGCCGACGACCCAGCAACCACTTGCCATATCCAGGGAGCAGTACCACAATGCTCCATTCAGATCCTCCAACAATTCATTGATCAGAAGAACGGGGTAAACCATAAGCTGGTTCAAGTCGTTCACCAACCGATAATCAATGCACAGTCTGATATCCACCCCATTTTTCTTCACAATAATGACAATTGGGCTGGCCCATGGCGAGGTAGAGGGCTGGATGATCTTCGCTTTAGTCCCTTGATCAGATCTGCCAGCTTTTCTTTGACCTGGGGGGCAACCTTCCGTACACGTTGTGCAGTAGGCCTGACATTACCCACATCAGTATCACAGATAGCTCCTCGAGCAGCCGGTGGTAAGGCGTTGCCCTTTCCCATGAGAAGATGTCGTCTTTTCCATATAATTTGTCTCAGTCGGTCCACCTCCTCTGGGGTGTTTCCTTCAGAGTCATGAACTGTATATCTTCCAACTTGATACTCGTAGGTGAAAGGTCAATCTCCGGTATGATATCCCATCCATGGTTTACATCTTCAGCCCAGAATTCCCCACTTTCGAACGTGCACACTTGGTCATCCGCCTGTGGTGACTCTACCAGCGATCCTTCGCCTTCTTTCGTCTGGTCTACCTGGTCGACTTGAGGGTCCACCTGGTCGACCTTTGGCTGGAATGCCATAGGCATAACTGGAACAAGTGCCCTTGGTCGCTGAAGTATTCTAGATGTCTGTACTGTGGTACATCCACCAATGGTCCTTCATCCTTCTCCGTCAGGTCTTCCTGATGGTCGACCTGGCCGGTGGTAGATTCATACACCAGGTTTAATCGCTCGGCATATATTCGAGACCCTACCGACACAAAACCCTGGGGGGCCCCCGGGGTTTTTTTTCTCCTCCTCCCCCCCCCCCTTTTTTTTTTTTTCTTTTTTAAAAAGGGGGGGGGAAAAAAAATTTTTTTTTTT